TCAAACTTCCCTTTGAGATCAAGACTGGTTGTCCATCTGTCCATTGCAGAGAGTATTATGTTAAAAATTAATTCCACTTCGTAAAATTATGTTGCTGGTGAGGAAAGAAGTTAATAGATAATAAATACACAAGTAGACCTTCATATACCTATGGCTCTGTAACTTTTGATGGTATTGAAAAAAGTGCCACCGCTCGAATTCAAGAGCATCACATTGAGTGGCGTTGTCGAATTGAAGCGGTTTTTTCGGGTACGACCAGAATAGAAGTATGCTTGATTAGATGATTGAGTTTTTGATAAACTAGATCCCATTCTGAGTGCTCAATACTGTAGGTAGCTTGCAACAGTTGAAATGTTTGAAGACACTGTTCTGCTAGAAGCACTGCAGTATCATTCTCGTTCTTTCTTTGGTCACTAGAAAACTTCGGACTAGGCTTGTCAAACAAAACATAAATGACGAAATAGACTCTTAAGTTTCATATCAAATTTTTCATTTAGCTAGATCTTGTATTGAAGATCATCTACTGATTGCCCCTTGGTAAGTTGGTTACCTGGTAATTTGAACTGTCTATATATATATAGTCGTCATTAATTCGTTTACTAATAATAAAAATAACAATAATTATTTATTCTCAAATAACAACATGTTACGAGAAGTATGCCAGTTCATATGCAAGATCAAAATGTTAAAATTGCTAACATATATCCTGTAAAATGTTGTTCAGTTACTTAAATATTTCACAAGATACATTGTTTTCATATAGATGGCTAAAATTTTCCACATTTAATTATAAATAACACTTCACAATCCACAATCTACAATGCAATAGTGTGCGTAAATTACGAGAGTTACTTTACGAAGAACCACTGATGGTTGAGTACCAATTTAAGGTAAATCCAGGTCAGCATTGAACAATATATGATGAGGTACATATCCAGAGACATTTTTGTCAGATAATAAATTTACAGGCTTCTATATATTTTATCCTGCAAAACTTTCTCAGGTTAAGAATCCAAAGAATGATATTGTTTACAGCTATGTGTTAGTTATTTTCATAACTAATTGTAGTTATGTCATAACTAACCAATCAAATGGTGGTTTAAGCGCCCACAACGAGATCTGATCTGATGTTTCTGTAAACTTTCTTTGTTGTAAATGGCCTACTAATTGAAGGACATTATTATCCTATTGTTGTAATGTGTGTCCATCAGGGCTGTCCACTCTTTCCATTCTTGTTTAACTTTGTCGTAGACATACTCTTAGAGTTAACATTAGGCTCGTCAGATTCTTCAGGGGATGACGTTCTACCAGGAGAATCGCTTACTTACTTAGAATATGCCGATGACATAGTCCTATTCAGTGGAGACGCTGACGAAATGCAGAGTCTCCTGATTAGCATAAGCAACAATGCGAGCATGTTCGGGATGCGGTTCTCACCCTCGAAATGCAAAATGTTGCATCGGCACCTGAACTAGTGATAGGGAGGGAAGTAGTCGAGCGTGTTGATCACTTCACTTATCTGGGGAGTCTCATCAGTGCTGATGGCCTGGTGACTGACGAAATCTCAGCTCGGATAAAGAGGGCTCGATTGGCTTTTGCCAACCTGCGTCATCTATGGCGCAGGCAAGATATCCGTTTGCTAACCAAAGGACGAGTGTTCGCTCTGTTCTCCTATATGGATGCGAAACATGACCGTTAAGAGTAGAGCACTTCCGTAGGTTGCTAGTATTCGATCATAGATGCTTAAGAAGCATTGCTCGTATATCGTGGGACAACCGAGTAAGCGATGGCGTCGTAAGGAAACGAGTACGAGGTAAGGATGGCAGATCAATAGATGAAGTTGTGAACCTTCATCAGTTGAGTTGGTTGGGACATGTGTTACGAATGCCTAACCACCGACTGCCTCGACGAGCTATGTTTTGTGGTGTAGGAGTAGACTGGAAGAAAGCTAGAGGTGGCCAAACCAAAACAGGCAGAAATGCATAATGTCACTGATAAGTGGACTGAGTCATGTTGGTAGATGTAGGCTACCTGATTGGGGTCCGTGAGACGATATTCACGAATGGTTAGAGACCTTGAACGACATGGCTCAAAATCGTTTGCAATGGCGCAGGAGCATCCATTCTTTGTGTTCTCTCTAATTCTAACCTGGATTTCTTATCACTCCTGTCTTTATCTTTCTAAATTTATCTCACTAAATTATACTTATCAATTCATATCTTCGAACTATAATCTTCTCTATTACCATTTAAACCTCTACTATCTTTATCACTATGGGATTTGATTTGACATTTGCGTCTCTGTGCTAATGTAGTATGGCAACCTGAACTTAGGTACATATGTACGAAAGTTCTAAGTTGCAACTGACTGATTATCTGATTATTATTGATGTGACTAATAGTTTTATTGATTTCCATAAGACACGCTATATTGGTCGGTATGTTTGATCGTCTTACTTGATAATTGTAATTTCCTTATTGATTGTACTAATTTAATTGTTTTTATGTTTAGAAACAGAAAAAGTCTAAAGCGAAATTGGTCTTGTTCTGACTATAGCTTTCCCATAGACTCTGTGCTCGCCAATCCTACACTATGCGTTGTCTGTACCTTCTGCAGGCCATTTTAGCAACAGACTAGTTCGTAGCATTTAAGATTTTTCTCCATAAGAAATCTCATAAAGAGTTTATACCATGTTGAGGAATGGCTTTCCAGCTGGGTTACTGCATATTGTCTTTTATAGCTGACACGTTTGAAGTTACAATGTTTGGTGTTCCCAAGATATTTTCTACCGGCTTCGGCAATAAAATTGAAACGCATGACAGCATTTTTCCCAGGAAAGTCAGCATTAAAAAGTTGTTTGTCAGGAATTATTAATTCGTTAGGATTTATTCCAGCTGTGATGGAATTTGGTTGCTTAAATCACTATCAGTGGATTTAGGTATCAGCAAGCCATCTATCTAACTATACCTGCCCACATCAGAACCTCAAAAAATCCACCAGCTTCTATAAAAAATGCATCCGATTAAGCAAAGTCCGACAACAGTGGTTAAATAAAAACCTTTCAACTGTCAACGGTCAGATACAATACCATAGGCATGGAATACCAATTTGTGTTCTTGTGTAGAACGGTACTTTCAGAACGATATGGAATTCCGAGAACTTACTGATTTCATTGACCATAAAACTCTGATCTTTTTTCTCAATACATCTGCAGACAAGTACTCTATTCTGGCATTTAGAAAACTGGATTACATCTCCCAGTCTACTCTAGATATTTCTAGTGTAAAAATGTAGCTGCAGACGATCTTCTTAAACTCATTCGGCTTCAGAAAGAGTTATCATTGAAACGACTGTGACTAAGCAAACGGACTCTTTCTAGAAATGTTTATATTTAATTACAGTTCTGTTTGTCAAGAATTATTCTAGTTATCTGGAAGTAAATACTTCAGTGATAGTGTATTTTCTGTAACACCCTTTCCTCAAACTGTAGAATACAAATATAACACGAGCAACTTTCCTATCACACCAACCAAGTAACACTTAACGGAGAAGCTTTAAAAGATGTAAAAACCGTTACATATCTAGGCAGCAACACTGATGAGCAAGGAACATCTGATACAGATGTAAAGTCACGGATTTTCAAATCAAGGAGAGTATTTCTACAATTGAAGAATATCTAGAACTCAAAACAACTGTCAACAAACACCAAAGTTATAATTTTCAATATAAATGTCAAGACAGTTAGACTGTATGGAGTGGAAACTTGGAGAAACAAGAAAGATACAAGTGTTTATTAACAGTTTGCTAGACACTATTAGCAACAGCCTACGATGAGAGAGAATAAACCCGATTCCAGCGAAGGAAGATATCAGGAAGAAGTACTGGTAGTGGATAGGACAGACAGTGAAGGAAAGCACCCGAGTCACAAGGCAAGCCTTCACACAAAATCCTCCAGACCAAAGAACACAGTATGCCGAGAAATGGAGATAGTTATAAGATGAACGAACAAAAATTGGACAGAACTATAAAGAAACGCCCAAGACAGAGTACGTTTGAGAATACTGATCGGCGGCGGCCTATGCTCCATTGGATGTAACAGGCATTATTAACTAAACTAACTTCCTGTCAACTTATTGAGAATTGTATTTCTTATTGAAATAAACAGTCCTCTAAACAGTCAGTACCACGATTCAATGAATTTAGACAAAATATCCAATTTGAAATCATCAATCAATCATTGTTAGACCACCATTAGAAACCTGGAAGCACTGAAAGACGGCCGTTTCGTCCTGGTATGGGACTCCTCATCAGCAGTGCGCATCCACGACTCGTGCTCCTCGCAGGATCCGAACCCGGGACCTTCGGCATTGTAGGCGAACGCCTTACCATTGGACCACTGATCAGGCATGCAACGGTGTTAATGTCTAACTCTGATTGATCAAAGGATTTTGTGCGACCTCACCCATTTGTCTTTGGTGGGTAGCTACTGCCTACTACACCCGACAGGGTTGAACTCCATTGGTCACGTCTTCTCAACTAGAACTTCGAGAATTTCCTCACGAAGCTAGTCACTACTAGTGAGTACATGTTACGATATTTTCAGGCAGAGTTTTGGAGTTTTTGTGTTTTTACACATTTGAAATCATGGATGCGCACTGCCGCTGATGAGCTAGTCCCATACCAGGACGAAATAGCCGACATTCAGTGCTTCTTCAAGGTTACTTCTAATGGTGGTCTAGTAACAATGATTGATTGATGATTTTGAAATGTGTAAAAAAAAAACACAAACCTCCCAAACTGTGCCCCAAAATATCCAATGAGAAATTTCAGTATATCCACACACAAAAATATGACTTTTATAGTGAAAATTATAAATAAAAAAACATAAACATGAATACACTTATCAATGGTAGAAAAGAGAAAAATAAAAGAAAAGTAAATTTACAATTTTTTGCATTACGCATTATTGTAACAATGTGTGTATGGGTTTTCTTTTTTTTTTACTGGATAATACGACGTTTTGAATCAAATACACTTTTCTTGAATTCCAATATAACTTCAATATCTAATTGTGATGTTTGTTTACGACCAGATTTTGATGAATACTGTGCTAGTACTTCATCAGGAAGATCATCTAAATAACAGAAATGATGAGTATAAAATAGATGTGATTAGGTAAAAATCTAGTTGAATATTCAGTTAGTCAGTCAGTTAGTTACAACATGGAACTTTGTACATGAGTATGTAAGTTCAGGTTGCCATACCACATCAACACAGAGATATAATCGTCAATTCAAATCCCATAGTAGTATTAGAGGTAGTGAAAGTATTAGAAGTAATTGGAGAGATTAGGGTTCGAAGATATGATTTCTAAGGTATAATTTAGTGAGACAACTTTAGAAAGAGAAAGATGGAGATGATGAGGAATTCAGAAAGTTAGAATTTGAGCAGACACAAAGAATGGATGCACCTGCGTCATTGCAAACGATTTTGAGCCATGTCGTTCAAGGTCTGTAACCATCGATGACTTTCGTCTCGTGGACCCCAACCAGGTAGCCTACATCTACCGACATGACTCAGTCCACTTGTCAGTAACTTCATGCATTTCCGCCATATTTTAGTTTGTCCGCCCCTCACTTTCTTCCAATCTACTCATACACCACAAAGCATAGCTCGTCACGGCAGTCAGTCAAACAAAGAAGCCATTCAATTTACTTTTTATTTTAAAAGTCAATAAAAAACTAACTAACTTTCTAAAGCTAAACGACATTTTCCACTTTGACCAAAACTTGATTCAATATAACCATTTATACGTTGAATATCATTCAGATTATTATCTCCTGTTCCTGATGCTGCAGCTGTTGATGAGGATGATTTAATAATTACATAAGCACGTAGACCAATAAATATTTCCCAATTTGTTTCACGTTTAAATAAACCCTGTACAATACATGTTCGTGAATTAACAATACGTTCTAATTGACCACGACGAATTTTCGATTTACATACCTACAAAAATAACACATAACGTAAAAATCACATGGAAAGCTTAATGTTTAGAAAGAAAAACAAAAGTTAACACATTTTAAAACACAATTCTCTCTCTCTCTCTTTCGGTAGTTTATGTACGAGTCACAAGATTCGAATGGGATACGCGCTAATGCACTGCTCATCTCTTCGATCCAGAAAGACAGACAGACAGATACAACGCAGAACTTCGTACAGAAGTACATCTGTTCAGGTTGTCATGACCCATCAGCACAGAGACGCAACTGTCAGTTCAAATTCAACAGTGATAGCAATAATTGAAGTATTAGCAGTAATAGAGAAGATTATAGTTCGAAGATATGATTCGAGAAGTATAATTCAGTAAGATAAATTTAGAAGGAGAAAGTAGAGATTATGAGGAATGAAGAAGCTTAGAATTTCATAGAACACAAAGAGTGGATGCACCTGCGCCATTACAAACGATTCTGAGCCATGTCGTTCAAGGTCTCTAACCATTCGTGACTATCGTCTCGTGGACCCCAACCAGGTAGCCTAAATCTATCAACATGACACAGTCCACTTGTCAGTGACTTCATGCATTTCTGCCATGTTTTGGTTTGGCCTCCTCTAGCTTTCTTCAAATCTACTCCGACAACATCACAAAACATAGCTCGTCGAGGCAGTCGGTGGTTAGCCATACGTAACACATGTCCCAACCACCTCAACTGATGAAGTTTCACTACTTCGTCTATTGATTTGCCGTCCCTACCTAGAAATCGTTTCCTAACGGCAGCATTGCTTATACGGTTGTACTAGGATACACGAATAATGCTTCGGAGACATCGATGATCGAAGACGAGTAACCCACGGAAGTTCTCTACTCTTGACGGCCAAATCTCGCATCCGTACAGTAGGATGGAGAGAATCGCTGCACAGTACACTCGTCCTTCGATCCACTAGAAAATTGACTAGTTCAGTGAGAAAGTAAACGATTGGAGAGGAAATCTATTTATGGTTACCAAATACTATGTACAAATATATATGATAAATGTTTACTGAGCCAACGGAACACAAATTACACCGAGTAATGGAGACAGACATGAGAAGAATGAACAGAAGTTGAATAGAACTAGAAAGGAAGGTGGCCTAGGACAGAGTTGGGTTGGAGAATACTGGTCGGCAGCCTATGCTCCATTGGTAAGAAGTGGTAACAGGCGTATGTAAGTAAATGTTTTGTTACTGCTAAGGTTTATCAATACTATTAAAAAAGCTGGTAACATTTTGATGGGTCAATCAGTCAGTCAGATGCAATGTAGAACTTCGTACGTAAGTACACCAGTTCATGTTGCCATACCACATTAGCACAAACAGATGTAATTGTCAATTCAAATCCAAAAGTAGTAGAGGTATTTAAGGTATTAGAAGTAATCGAAAGGTTAGGATTAGAAGATATTATTCAAGAAGTATGATTCAATGAGATAGGTTTAGAAAGACAATACTAGAGGGGTTGAAGAATCCAGAAGATTAGAATTTGAGAAAACACAAACAAACGGTTTTGAGCCATGTCATTGAGGGTCTCTAACCATCGAATATTATCATCTCGTGGACCCCAACCAGGTAGTCGACAATTACCGACATGGCTAAGTCCACTCGTCAATGACTTCATGGATTTCTGGCATGTTTTGGTTTGGCACTACACATTAGCTCTTATTCTATGATCGATAACTGTAAATATATCAGTCTAATAGGACGTCAGTAATGACCACATTACCTCAATGATAACATCTTAGGTTGTGATGTTGAGAAAAATTGAATTGAAATCCCACAGGCAGCATGAGTTTTGTTAAGAATGCAGGCATATTTTGATGACAAGCATTGATTAGTACAAAGTCTAGATTGAACGATTTCTAACTAATTCCGCTAACTCTAACAGATATATTACCTTCAAAGAACCACCGCCTATGTTAAACCGGGTATCATCACTTAGCTAAAAGCCTCATTGACAGCTGACATAGCTGAAATTATGAATCAATCACTGTTAGATCAACACTAAAAACCTGGAAGCACCGGAAGGCCGCTTCGTCCTGCTATGGGACTAGCTCATCAGCAGTGGGCATACACGACCGCCATAGGCGGGATTGGAGCCCAAGACCTTCGGTCACCTGCTTCACCTCAAGCCATTTGTCTTCGGTGGTTACTGGCTACACCTGACCAGGTTGAGCCGAACTGGTCATTTCTCATTAGGAATCCGAGAATTTCCTCAGAAAGCTAGTAGTCACCAGTAAGCGCATATTGTACAATTCTTCACTATAGAATTATAATGCTTGTTGATTGATTACTGAAATCATCAATCAAAAAAATTATGTAATACAGCTGGCATGTACACACACACACATACACATTATAATAAGTAAATAAAAAAAACGTACAAGTAATTTACTTAAATAATTTGATTTATAATTTAAATCATTTAATTGTACTAAAACACGACCATGTAATGCGATGCGACAACTAGTTATTGAATATGTATCTAATTTCGCGCCAATAACTAATCCATTCATTGGACAAATAACTGGATGTTCAAATTCCAATAATAAATAAAGATTATTATCTAATGATAGAGAAAAGAAAAGAAAAATTTAAATGAAACAACAAAATATATGAAAAAGTGTTAGGGTTATTCATCCAATATCGTAAGAGAATTATTATTGGTCAATTCCTATTGGTTCATTCCTACTTGGTCAATTTTATGATCGTCCTAGTAGATATCAATGTCACGTGCTCCAATGTTGTTTCTTATTGGTTGTCCTGACTATCAATGTCACATCAAAAGTTACTTCCTATTGGTTGTCAATGTCATAGACTTCGATGCTGTTTCCTATTCGACCAAAATGTATAAATACGCATTAACTGTAACGTTATATGACCAGGACCAGGGCTCGGTCCCGGATCCCTAGTCTGGGATCCGGATTCTTTTCTGGATTCGGACCTCGTACTTTCTCGATGCTTGTAGAATACAAATTCTACTCCACGTTCAAGTCTTCTTATTTTCACTCAATATGGGGGTTCGGATAATCGGATTTGAGTAGCATGTCGTGTCGCCGGATCCTCGCTCTCGTTTTTCGACTACGGTAAACTCGTAATAGTTCAAGCATATCAAAATGACGTGTTCACGTGCAGGTGTAACAGAATATTACATTTTATGGGGGAGGGGGGGATTATAGAGATTTTTGAGTTATTTTATTGAAATCATGAATTGATCCATGTTAGATTAACACTAGAAGCAATTCTATAATGCAAATGATCATGTGCTTACTAGTGATTGACTTCGTGAAGAAATTTCTCAAGATTTCCAGTAAGAAGTTGTGATGAGTGGAGTTCAGCTCGGTTCGGTTGTGAAGCAACACTCACCAAAAACAAATGGATGAGGTGGCGCAGAGTTAGACATTAACACCCTTGGATGCCAGCTCAGTGGTCCAGAATTTAAGCGTTAGCGTGCAACACCGAAGGTCCTGGGTTCAAATACTGCGAGTAACAGAAGACATGGATACTCACTGCTAATAAGCTAGTCCTATATCAAAGTCGAAACAGTTGTCTAATGCTTCTAGGTTTCTAATGGTGGTCTAACATAGATCGATTCATGATTTTAATAAGAATATTGTTGACATTTTTCCTATATATATATATATATATATATATATGTTTGCTTAAATCTCACTGCATTATACCCTAATCTTCTCCATTAGTGCTGATAATTTTACTATCGCTACCGTTATTGGATTTGAACTGACAACTGTGTCTCTGTGCTAATGCAGTATGGCAACCTGAACTGACGTACGTACGTACGTACGAAGTTCTACGTTGTAATTGACTGACTGACTGACTGTGAAAAGGGTACTAGGTAAGAATGGCAAATCGATTGATGCAGTAGTGAGCCATTGTCAATTGACATGATTGGGATATGTGCCATGTATGCCCAACCATCGACTATCTTGACGAGCGATGCTTTGTGGTGTAGGAGTTGGTTGGAAGAAAGCTGAGATTGGCCAGACCAAAAAATTGGTACAAATACATAAAGTCACTGATAACTGAATGGAGTCATGTTGGTAGGTGTAGATTAACTGGTTGGAGTCAGCGAGACGATAGTAATCAATTGTTGGTGACCTTGAATAACATGGCTCAAAATCATTTGCAATGGTGCATGTGCATCCACTCTTTGTGTTCTCTCTAATTCGAACCTTCTGAATTCCTAATAATCTCTGTCTTTCTCGTTCTAAATTTATCTCACTGAATTATACTTTACGAATCATATCTTTGCTCCCTAATCTTCTCCATCACTGCTAATACTTCTGCTATCACTATCACTCTTGGATTTGAACTGACAGTTACGTCTGTGTGCTGACATGATATGGCAACCTGAACTGATGTACTTATGTACGTACGAAGTTCTGCGTTGTATCTGTCTGTCAACTGACCAATTATCACATATATATACATAAATATCTATACATGAAACATACGCTTCACCTGGAAGAGCCCTTTTCTACAGTGACTACCGGTCACAAGCCTACGGATTAAGGAGGAGGGTTGGTTGAACATAAGGTTAAGCGACCTTATTTCATAGAAACAAATCCAATCTTTAAGGGTAACAGGCGTAAGTAAGTAAGTATGAAAAATAAGGTATATATATCAATCACTAACCTGTTTCATCTGGAATCTCATCAACATATTGATACATAAGAGTTTGATTAAATTCACAACCATTTTGTAGATTATCATTATTTAAATGATTACTATTAGACATGAAATTATTTGACGATGTGATTTTACTGAAAAATATTAAATTACTCAATACAGTTTCTTGACCAATAAAAATATGTAAACGTGATTGACTTTTCACTGATGATTTAAAATAATTGATTTTTTTAACACAATTTAATATACACGCATAGCATGGTGTTAAATTGTCCGTTGTAGTTAAATCTCCAACAAGACCACGTTCTAATAAATTGGAATCTAATTGTGGTACACAAATACCAGCACGATCACCCTGAAAAAGAAATGAAAAATGAGGCATTATTTTTTGGTGAAATAAAAGAACAAACCGAAAAATTGATAAATTATCGTGTTTTTGCAACAGAAATGTTAACGAAAAAAAAGAAAAACCCGACCATGGTTGCTAGTTCTGCGTTGTAGGATTTGATTTTGACCAATTTGGTCTCGTGTGCTGGTACGTGTATGAGGGCAGTTGTCACTTCTCGGCTGCCCACACCATGTGAGGGTGTTTCTAGAGGAACCTGAAAAAGAAGATAGATTAGTGTTGGTCTTAGAGACATGGGTGAGTGACCGGAGAGCCCAAGGGACAACTTCTTGAGGCCGGTCACGCACGGCCTTTTTATGAAGGGCTCCGCTCTTATAGGCCCTTAACGGGCACCCCTACCGCCGGAGACGGAAATCCGTTAGGTAGGATGAGTTGTGACATTCTTAGGGTCGACCTTTTCTAACCCATTCCTTCCTTGTCAGAAGGCAGCATCGATGCAGATGCTGGTTGTCCGAGAGAAACACCTTACTGCTGTCACACGACTCCATCACAGTCAGCAGTACAACTTCGCCCTCAGACCCTGGGTAGCTGCTTTTGGTCTCATCGTTCTCCAATCGACCTGTCTGGCATGGTAGAACCTTCAAAGACATATGTTCCAGCGAGTATAGCTCGGCCGGGTTTGTTTTGCAGTATAGGAGTAGATTGGAAGAAAGCTAGAGGAGGCCAAACTAAAACATGGCACAAATCCATGAAGTCACTGACAAATGGACTGAGTCATGTTGGTAGATGTAGGCTACCTGATAGGGGTCAGCGAGACGATAGTCACCAATCGTTAGAGACCTTGAACGACATGGCTCAGAATCGTTTAGAATGGCGCAGGTGCATCCATTCTTTGTGTTCTATGAAATTCTAAGCTTCTGTATTCCTCATAATCTCTACCTTCTCCTTCTAAATTTTTCTTACCGAATTATACTTCTCGAATCATATCTTCTCTCCCTAATCTTCTCCATTATTGCTAATACTTCAATTATTGCTATCACTCTTGGATTTGAACTGAAAGCTGCGTCTCTGCGCCGATGGGGCATGGCAACCTGAACTGATGTACTTACGTACTAAGTTCTGCGTTGTACCTCTCTATAGCTGTTAGTTCAATGTGATGGTAATGGCTTGTCAATCACATGATGACCTAAACCAAGCTATATTGGTTGGAATACATGTTCCTTTAGGTCCTAACATGCCAGGCAAGTTGACTGGAGAATGGTAAGATTAAAAGCAGTAACTCAAGCTTTGACGGTGAAGTTATACTGCTAACTGTGAACGGATGTGACAATAGTAAGGTGTTTCCTTCGGATAACCAGCATCTGCAGCGGTGCTGCATTCTCACAACGGAAGGGGTTAGAAGACTATGACGTTTGTAGAAAGTATGTTACTATCCAGATGAGCGGTGCATCCGCTCGTTTTCAAATCGACATGGCATCAGATATCACCTTAGTGTCTAGGGAAACGTATAACTTGCTGGGAAAACCGTCAATGAAGCTATCTAAGAAAACAGTTAAAAGCGCTTCAGGTGGTGTGTTAAAACTGGTTGGTGAGATACAGTGTGAATTTTCCTTCAACGGAACAACATGTACAGGAATATGCTATCTGATAGAACGGCCAAACCTCGATCTTCTTGGTCTAGATATGCTAGAAAAACTGGGAATAATGGATTTACGCATTAACACTGTCTGCAGCGTATCGTGTTCATCATTGGACACCCCGATACTTACAAAGAAGACAGGTGAAAGCTTACAAGATAAACGGAAGAGGAAGTCAGCCTCTGTTTTTTCAGAATAGCCTTGGCCGCTGTACAAATATGAAAGATCACCTACCAGTGAAAGCAGATGCCAAACCTATTTCACGTCCGAGACGCCCTATACCATATGCTGTTCATGAGGCTCAACAAAACTTCTCGATGGGGAAGCAGTCCAATAGACAGTTGTTCACAGATATGGCTCCTACAGAGCAGGCAGCTCGTAGGAGAACGGGCGGCAAGGAACCAAGAAAGCATTTGGACTCTAACTCTAGATCCTACGAATCTTCTCAAAGGAGAGGTGTTAGTGGGACATAGATGGATTAAAGCACGACTGCGCTAGCTGTGCGCTGATTGGCTAATTTCCTAATCCAATCAGCGCCTGATCGATTCTTGGAGAACAGGGTAGAAAATTCTCGTGTTGTTATCTGCATGCTGATTGGCTAAATCTAATCCAGTTGATCACGTGAATTACAATCCAGAAGCTTCTCATGAAAATACTATAAAGAATCTACTATAAAGAATCCTACTTCTTGAATAATATCTTCTAATCCTAACCTCTCCGACTACTGCTAAAGCCCTTACTACCTCTACTACTGTGGGATTTGAATTGACAATTACATCTCTGCGCTTGTGTGGTATAGCAACATGAAATAATGTACGTACGTACGTACGAAGTTCTACGTTGCTGTTGATTGTATAGATTGGATAGTAGTCGTTCAGGCATAGAGTAGTCAAGTCGTTTGTCCTTGAAAACAAACACAACATTCGTCAATATGTATTACTGGATATACTAGAATAAGTGTTTAGTAATAAATTAACTTGTGTCATACAAATGTTTAAAAACTTACAACACCCATTTTTAATTCATTTACTTGGCGAAAAGTAATAAAAAGGAAAGGGAGGAAGGTAAATGAAATATGCACAATTCACTTAAAGTAAGTCACTCATGAATATTTAATAAGCTCAAATGGTGTTTGAAACACAACACAAAAGAAACCGCCTTCATATATAACTCACTAACTTCGCCTAGAGCCTTTCTAGGATTACTTCCGATCTTAAGCCGGGATAAAGGAGGAGGGTTGGGGGCATAGGGTTGGCGACCCTACGTCAATGCAATCCAGTCTTGAAGCAACATTTTTGATTTCGAGGGGGAAAACCGCATCCCGAACATGCTTGCATTGTTGCTTAGGGTAGTCAGTAAACTCTGCATTTTCTCAGCGTCTTCACAATGTCATCGACATATTCTAAGTCAATAAGCGATTTTCCTGGTAGTAAGTCCACTCCTGAAAATCCAGACGAAGATAATGTCATATCTAGGAGCATGTCTATGAAAAAATTAAACAAGAATGGGGAAAGTGGACAGACCTGACGGACACCACTTGAAGTAACCCATTCCTATGACAGTTCGCCATAAGCTCTTACTCGAGCTGTAGTGTTTGAGTAGAGAGCTTGTATAAGGTTAGCGTACTTCTTTGGTACACCTTTTAATGACAGACACTGCCAAAGAACCACACGATCCACATAGTCAAATGCCGCCTTTATGTCTAAGAAGACAACTATTGTCGGACGCCTAAATGTGTGTCTATGTTCCAGGACCTGTCGTAGTGTGAAAATGTGGTCTATACAGAAAATGTCCAGGTCGACAGCCTATGCTTCATTAGGGCTAATATTAACTGATATTAACTGATATTAAACAGTTAACGTTAAGTTCTATGCTGTATTAGACATGTCCGATTGTTTTTTTTAAAAAGATATTATATGATCATCTTTAAAAATATGATGTCGGTCGAAGGCATAAATTTATCCGCTACAGAACTATAAATTACCAGCTATAAGCAGGAGTCTATCAAGTTAAAAAAAAACAAGGCTAAGCGAGTGATAAGATCATGAAATAAACCAGTAAACCAATGACTAATCATGTTGTCATCTATTTATGGAACATTTCAACAATTATTAATGATTATTAGAGTACATAAGTGAATAAAGATTACAATACCAATTTATCTAGTGTCAGTCAGTCAGTTAGTTAGTTACAACGTAGAACATCGTACATGAATACATAAGTTCTGGTTGCCATACTGCATCAGCAGAGAGACGCTAGTGTCATTTCAAATCCTACAATGGTGACGATGGTAGAAGTATTAGCAGTAATAGAGAAGATTAGGGAGCGAAGATATGATTCGAGAGGTATAATTGAGATAACTGTGGTAAAAGTAACATAGAGATGATGAGGAATACAGAAGGTTAGAATTTCATAGAACACAAAGAATAAATGCGCCTGCACCAATGCAAACGATTTTGAGCCATATCGTTTAAGGTGTCTAACCATTGGTGACTTTCGTCTCTCGGAACCCAACCAGGTAGCCTACAACTACCAACATTACTCAGTCCACTTGTCAGTAACTTCATGGATTTCTGCCATGTTTTGGTTTGGCCACCCCTAGCTTTCTTCCAACCTACTCCTTTACCTCAAAACATAGCTCGTTGCGGCAGTCAGCAATTAGACATACGTAAAATTTATCTACTGTAAATGATAATAACAATTTTTCAATATAGACGTCGCCAGCGGAGTTCACTTCTGTCGGGTGTAGTCAATAACTACCCCAGACAAATTGGTGCGGTTGCACAATATCCACAAATTGACCAGAAGTAGACATTAAACACTATCAGATGTCGGCCCACTGCTCCAAAGGTTAGGCGTTCGCGAGCAAGACCAAATGTTTTGAGTTCAAATCCTGGGAGTAGCAAGAGTTGTGGATGCGCACTGCTGATGAGTTCTATACCAAGACGAAACGGCTGTCCTATGCTTCTAAATTTCTAATGGAGGTCTAACAATAAGTCACTCATGATTTCAGTAATAATAACAATAATAATTAAAGTATTGTTTATGCAAATAAAATGTCATGTTAGACGAATCAAATAAACACCTGGTTTATATTGTGAATGCAGTAAGGGGATATATATAAAACATGAATCATCAGTCAGTCAGTTGCAACGTAGAACTTCGTATGTATATACATAAGTTCAGGTTGTCATACCGCATTAGCACAGAGACGCAACTGTGGTAGCGATAGTAGAAGTATTAGCAGTGATGAAAAAGATTAGGGTTCGAAAATATGATTCCAGAAGTATAATTCAGTGAGATAAATTAAGGAAGAGAGAGGTTGAGGTGATGACGAATCCAGAAGATTAGGATTTGAGAGAGCACAATGAATGGATGCACTTGCGTCAATGCAAACGATTTTGAGCCATGTCGTTCAAGGTCTCTAACCATCGATGACTTTCGTCTCGCGGATCCCAACCAGGTAGTGTATATCTACTAACATGAATCAGTTCACTTGTCAGTGACTTCATGGATTTCTGCCATGTTTTGGTTTGGCCGCCCCTAACTTTCTTCCAACCTACTCCTACACAACACAAAACATAGCTCGATGAGGCAGTCGGTGGTTGTGCCTTTTCGTAACATATGTCCCAACCAACTCAATTGATGAAGTTTCATTACTTCATCTATTGATCTGCCATCAATATCAATATTACATTACTATTTAAAACCTACAGTCACTGGACGGCTGTGTTTATCTTAGTTTGAGACTCATCATCATCATCACCAGCAGCACTACACACACATCCACAACCTCGCACAAGAGACTTGAGATCAGGATCTATGACCACACTGTATTTAATACTAATGCTTTGACATGGATTGTGATTTATGATTTCTAATAAAATTCAACAATTTTTACAAATCTTCAAATTGATAAACTACCTTTAATACTATGTAAAAAAAAAATACATTTCTCTAATAATAATAATAATAATAATAATAATAATAATAATAATAATAATAATAATAATAGTAATAATAATAATAATAATAAACTTGATAACATACTGGTCCAATAGATTGAATTGGTTGACGAAATTGTTGAATCGATTTAATTTTCTTTTGAATACGTTGATAAGGTAAACCTATTGTCTGTTCAAAAATAATGATTCAATCAAATAAAGTTATTTATTATTATTATTATTATTATTATTATTATTATTATTATTATTATTATTATGTAAACATGTAATTATGGGTACAAACAAGGCACCGAAATATACATACACTATACATCTTTGAATTTGTGAAGATTGTCTGGTTATCCAAACTGAAGCAGGTGATTTCATCAGGGGTGAGGGGAATTCCATAAGCCTTAGGATCTACAAGTCTAACCTACAATGCAGTGGAGCAATGACGAGAGATTTGGTTACACGGTGGCCAGTCGCAACAATAAGTTCATACACCATTCGTTATATTAGGATACTGGAATCTATGTGCATCACTGGTTTGGAATAAGGGTTTTTCGATTCCCCTAGGTGGATCCTTCCTACGCACTAATTCGGTTAAAGTGAGGACATTTGCTTAATTTCATTAACAACACCTGTAGCATGAGGAGGCGGTAAGTAGAACTTTTCTGGAAATCGCTATGCACGCATGGCCTGACTAAAGCTGCTCCCTAATCGTGGTGTTCAGGCTTGCCCAACCGAGCTATATTGGTTCGAACATATGTTCCTGAGAGTTCTACCATGCCAAGCAGATCGATTGCAGAACGATGAGACTAAAATCAGCTACTCAAGGTCTGAGGGCGAAGTTGTACTGTTGACTGTAGAGAGGTGTGACAGCGGCAAGGTTTTTCCCTCGAACAACCAGCATCTCCAGTGATGCTGCCTTCTGACAAGGAGGGAATGGGTCAGAAAAGGTTGACCCTGAAAATGTCACACCTCACCTCACCTCACGGATTTCCGTCTCCGGCGGTAAGACGTTTTAAAAAGAACGGAGCTAACACTTTAAAAACTTCTCATGAAAAGGCCGTGCGTAATCGCTCTCAAGCAGTTGTCCCTTGGGCTCTAAGGTCACGATGCGAGGCCTCTAAGACCAACGCTAATCTACATACCTTTTCATGTTCTTCTACAAACACCCTCACACAATGTGGCCAGTCGGGAAGTGACATCCCCTCTCCTCATACTCATAACAGCACACATGGCCCCCTTATCAGAGGATTTTGAGAGGGAGAGAGGACGCAATAGAATTAATTACTTACTTAAATTAAGAGAAATAAAACCAATTTATAATTTTTAACAAACAAATTGTCAAACATGTTTACATTACTTGACCAACACTTGTACTTCCAGACAATACAGTCCCAGTAAGAATGGTACCTTGTCCAGTAATTGTAAAACAATGATCTACAGCAAACACAAAACTCATATCTTTCAGCTTTCTACGTTTCTCAGTTGGATCATGTATTGAACGAGCTAGTAAAGTGATAAGATTTTCAATTTCATGTGAATTATTTGCACGTTGTTCAGGTGTAAATTCTACCTGTTATAGAAAATTACAAATTGTACTTACTATCCAATGAATGAAAAATAAACTACTTTTTTTTTATAGCAACAATAAATAAATCATAAATAAGACAAAAAATGTACTACTATTGTGGTGTGAGCTACTTATAAGTAGTATATCGCGTGAGTGTCAACGTAAAGTCTGGCAGCAGAAGATGGGGCAAGATGAAGAAAGGAAGAGTTAGAAAACAATGGAATTTGTATGAAACGCATGAATAGTGACAATGGATTGATGTTGTTTGCAACAGGAACAGTCCAGTTCGATATGATGGACTGATATTTTGCAAATGGACGATTTACGATATGGTTTTCTGATTTTACTGAGTAACTCTGTAATTTTCGTTAAATACAATCCGGTTGCCCCACCTGTGTTCTCGTTCACTACACTATGGAGTAAGAATATCAATTTGTAACATCATTCAGTCAGTTAACTACAATGTAGAACTTCGTACGTACGTACGTAAATCAGTTCAAGTTGCCTTACCATATTAGCACACAGAGATGAATTTGTCAACTCGAATCCCATAGTGGTAGAGGGAGTAGAAGTGTGGTGCGCGCTACTTATAAGTAGGATATGATGCGAGTGAAAACGTAATGTCTGGCAGCAGAAGATGGGGGAAGATCAAGAAAGGAAGAGTCGGAACACAATGGAATTTGTATGAAACGCATCAATAGTGAAATGTCAGACAATGGATTGATGATGGATTGAAGATTAGCAAATTAACCGTTTACGATATGGTTTTCCTATTTTACTGATTAACTCTGTAATTTGCAATAAATACAATTCGGTTGCCCTCACCTATGTTCTCCTTCACTACAGAAGTACTAGAGGTAATTGAGATTACAGTTCGAAGAAATTATTTAAGAAGTATAGTCTATTGAAATAAATTTCTAAAAAATAAAGGTGACGAGGAATTCAAAAGATTAGGATTTGGAAGAACACTAAGAGTTTATACACCTGCTGGATTGCAAATGATTTTAAGTCATGTAATTGAAAGTCTCTAACTATCGGTTACTATTATCTCGCGGAGCCCAACTAGTTAGTCTACACTTACTAACATGACTCAGATCACTAGTCAGTGACTTCATAGATTTATGCCTTGTTTCCGTTTGACCGTACCTAACTTTCTTCTAGCCTAAACCCACATCAAAAAAAAATATCGCTCGTCAGGGCAATCGGTGGCTGTTACAATTTCTAATATGGTTAAGAAAGACAAAAAAAGATTGAATTACGTTTACAGATTGAATTAAATTAATTCAGAAAGTAGTTATTAAACAGAACAGCATTATTAGGGAAATGATTGGAATGAAAAAAACAAGATACCTTAAATTTTATAAGTACATATATATATATATATATAAACCCTTATTATGGTGCATACACAACTTTCTTCTCTGGTAAAATTATTCAACTGTTAGTCAGTCAGTTGCAACGTGGAAATTCGTATGTAAGTAAATCAGTTGATGTTGCCATACCACATTAGCACACAGAAGGATTCAATTGTCAATTCAAATCCAATAGTAGTAGAGGTAGTCAAGGTATTAGAAGTAATCGGAGAAGTTAGGATTAGAAGATATTATTCAAGGAGTATGATTCAATCAGAAAAGTTTAGAAAGTCAAAACTAGAGGGGTTGAAGAATCCAGAAGATTAGGATTTGAGAAAACACAAAGAATAAATGCACCGGCGCCTTTGCGAACGATTTTGAGCCATATCATTCAAGGCCTCTAACCATCGATTATTATCATCTCGCGGACCCCAACCAGGTAATCAACAATTACCGACATGGCTCAGTCCACTTGTCAATGACTTCATGGATTTCTGTCATGTTTTGGTTTGGCCGCTCCTAACTTTCTTCCAACCTACTCCTACACTACAAAACACAGCTTGTCGAGGCAGTCGGTGGTTAGGCATACATAAAACATGTCCCAACCACCTCGACTGATGAAGTTCCACTACTTCATCTATTGATCTGCCATTCTTACCTAGCACCCGTTTTATAATAACAGCGTTGCTCACTCGCGTGTCCCACGATATACGAGCAATGCTTCGAAGACACCTATGATCGAAAACCAGTAACATACGAATATCTTCTACTCTCACTGGCCATGTTTCACAGCCATAAAGTAACACGGAGCGAACCACTGCACAGTATACTCGTCCTTTAGTCAGCAAACGGATATCTCGCCTACGCCATAAGTGACGCAGGTTGGCAAAAGCTAATCGAGCCTTCTGTATCCGAGCTGAGATTTTGTCAGTCACCAGGCCATCAGCACTGATGAGACTCCCCAGATAAGTGAAGCGGTCTACACACTGCCCCGTTTATAACAGTTGAGTTTAGATTCAACTGTTACAAAAGGGGCAGAAAGTAGCTTAGTACATAATTTAACTTCATCATATTTCTTTAATCAAACTTAACAACTTTATATACTCTAAGTTATTTTTAACAAAAAAACATGAATACACCCAAAAGGTTTTTCGCCAAAATGATAAATCCACATGAAATTATGCTAACGATATGAATAAATGAAGGTGCTAGTACAAGCTTGATGAGAAAACTCCTTGATATTATTGATCAGTTCGGAAAGACATTTTTCCCTCATGAAACAAAAAAGAACATTGGAAGAATGATTTCTACCCTGATCCATAAAGGCGAATTTATAACAAACAGAAATAAAATAGAACGGCGATGCAGGAAAGAATAATGAAGTAGTGTTCAAATGATTACGGCTCAGTTGGTGTGAAGTACGTTCAAACACGCATGATCAATCAATCAATCAATAACAACGTAGAACTTCGTACGTACGTACGTAAGTACATCAATTCATGTTGCCATACCACATTAGCACACATAGATGTAATTGTCAATTCAAATCTCATAGTAGAGGAGGTAGTAAAGGTATTAGAAGTAACCGGAAATTTTAGGGTTAAAAGATATTATCCAAGAAGTAGAATCTAGTGTAAAAAACTTAGAAAGAAAAAGTTTAGGATTTGGGAGAACACAAAGAATGAATGCACCGGCGCCATTGCAAACGGTTTTGAGCCATGTCATTCAGGCTTTCTAACCATCGATTACTATCATCTTGCGGGGCCGCAACCAGGCAGTCGACACCTACCGATATGACTTAGACCACTTGACAGTAACTTCATGGATTTTTGCCATGTTTTGGTCTAGCCGCCCCTTGATTTCTTTCAACATATTCCTAAAATATAGCTCACATGAGTTGATAGTTAAGTCAAATAAACACAGTATGCAAAATTATGGTTCTTACTTTATTTAGGATATTAAACCTTTGCCTGTAGCATGCACGGTTATATATGTATATATCAATCACAACCCTAGTATACTGTTTATATGATTATCAGCATGGTTTTAGCTTGCAAATTTAACTATTAAGTTGTTATCTGTAAGTTCACATTTGGAAAGTCTGTGACATTTTTTACTGAACCATATTTAGAAAACAGTACACAAATTCATAAAGTAACGAGAACCAACAAGAATTCACACCTTGAAATAATAAAACAAAGAATATAATACACTTTGTCATTGTAAAAGCATAAATATTTACAGGAGAAGTAGAGACTTAATCGCCTTATCGTACAACAAACTAATGTTGTACTTACGAAATCATTTAAATCGGAAAACTAATAATCAAGTCTAATAATGAAAAATTACTATATAAAATGGTTTTCAACATGATAAGAAAAGAAACAGATTATTTTTGAAATCAGAGTAAACAAGATAGACACGTAACATAACTACATTTAGCCGAAAACAATTCGTATTTTACCTGAACACCACCAGGAGCAGCTGAAATTTCTGCAATCTCTGATTGTTTGAAAATTGTACTCTCCAGCGTTTTTAAAATACGCTTTTTCATCTTTGGACAGTATAATCACAACAAATCATAATACCTTCTGAATCGATTCATGTCTTTGATTTTCGGGTAATAAATCACACTTATTGAGGACTACTAACATTTTCTCACAAGTTATCTCACCAATCACCAGACACTCAGCAGTTTGAGTTTGAAAACCCTTAGTGACATCAACAACAAGAATGACGATATCAATGATTTGAGAACCTAGAATTGGGAGTAATAATGATAAAAACAGCATAGTCTATCGTTCAGAATAGGTAGGCCATTTGAAAAATAACTAGTGTTAAGTAAAACATAAAGATGAACATGCATTTACGAAGTGAGGTAGTAGGTATATATATGAAATTATGTCCTGAAAAAATGGAAATAAGCGAGTGACAGCAGAAAAATTGGTTAACAATTGACTGGATTTACAGTAATACATCACAAAAACTGATGTTTCATTATGTTGCGGAAAGTTTCACAGCACAAACAGAACATTTAAGAAGCTTCAGTATTCTTTCGTCTGTTTTGCCATAACAAAAACAATTTAGCAGTATAGTTGCTTACATTTTCTAGAGGTGACAATAGTCAAATACTCTGAATCTGGACGGCACAAGATTCACAAACCATAAAACAGCTGTCTGGTTTACAATCATTTGTACCAGCGTTTTTAGCTTGTATACAGATGGTCGGCTGTTTAGACTATTACTTTTATCCAAGTTAGAATACGGTAACTGATTATTTATAAGGTTGATAAAAAAGAAAAAAGGAAACAAATGATGAAATTACTGTTAGGTCGAGCAAAACTTAAGTACCTCAACTTCTTATTTTAGCTGAGGAAACCATATTATGTGACCAATTTTTTCTACATATAGAATAATAACTGTCAAAACATGGAAATATTTAGTCTCGAAAAAATAACAACAGAAAAGTCTTCACTTGATATTTACCGTCCCAAAAGGATTAATGGAACTTGAAACTCTTCATACTATTTCAGTAAGCATCAAAATTTGTAAAGACAAGAGTGGATACGCCAGTACCTATTTTAGTTATAACACATAGAAACTTCATCAAGTATATGAAGATTCTGTAAAGACGGACTTTCATTGATCCAGTAGTTATTGAAAACCACACATAAAATTGTGTGACAACCAATGATTAGTAAGATGGGGAATTAATACTGCTGGGATATCTTATTATATACAGATAAAAAAACATGATGACCCACCGCATAGAACCGTTCTTATAAGTGACCCATGTCCAGGACAGTCGACAAGAGTGAACTGAACCCTTTCAAAGTTCTCACGAATCGAAGATACAAAGGGGTAGCTCGCCGAATTCACGATAAATGAAGAAAATCCAAGATCAAGTGTGATACCTCGTTTCTTACTTTGAGGATTTTTATCAAATGCGCTAGTACTAGCAATGGTGCTTAAAACTTTTGCCAAGCTTGTTTTTCCTGAGTCGACATGTCCCAGCACTCCCACATTAATATTAATCATCTAACTGAATGGCAAGGAAGACCTTGAGAAATCAAATTGTGTCAAGCTGAAGTTAGGTCAAATGGTGCAAATGATTGCAGATGGAATATAACAAGCTTCGGCTTCATTAGATTCTCTATTTAATAGTGGAGTGTGTCTCATTTAGGGCTTAGGCATATATTCACAGTAGGCTATGATAAATACAGTTTTATGTTTCCAAGACTCCAATTCACGAGCCATAAGCCAATTGATTTCTTTCCGTTCGATTCTTACTGTTTAGGCAGGGTTTTATGTGTTCGGCAATTCCAAATGGGTGGTAGTATAATTCCAGTCATTTTACAGTTCTTTCTGAATTTCTATTCCCTGTGATTTGAGTGAGTACGTTGGTCTCAGGGTAGTAGATTTCTTGTATAATAACAGCTATCAAACTGCTAATCCGGAGATCATTTAGTTGCAGTGTGGAGAATAATCAGGAGAAAATTCTAATGCTAAAAAGAATAATATTTTGTAAGCAAGTAAATAAAGGAATTATTTGGTTAGTAGTGAAGATGCTGTGAGATTATAGAAATGTAAGCGAAGGAGATGAAACAGAAATGACTAGCTAGGTGGAATTATTTAGTGGTCTTAGGAAACAATAGTGATAACAACTAGCGAGTTTCGGGACATGCACCAGGCAACAGGTGGTCCAAAAGGAGATTACAGTCCGCAAGCAAGGGTGTGTTTAGCAGGCCTCTACTTGATGCTATCTGTAGTGCCTCCACATAAACTTGAGTTCGCTCATATTTAATTTGATTACGCCTTTCGATTAACTTATGTAACCACGCTATTTGTATAACAACAACCAACATTTACCAATGGTATTTTTTGTTGTCTGGTTTGAATGAGCTTGTACGACTGAGCATTGCTTACGCATACGCGCTGACTCATCCTTCTCGCTTTAATGTTAATCTCTTAATACCCCTATGAATTCAGATGACTTGTCTCGCTTACCTTTGACCTTTTCAGTCATTCGTCGTTTTTATTCATGTCTGTGCATGCCTATTTCGCTTTTCATATGTCTTATTTTTGTCTGACTATATATTCTTAGTCATGCTCTATCTCTAGGAGTTGGCTCAAAAGCCTACTCCAGTTCACGTCGCTTCATTCGTTTCATTCACTGCTTCTCCGCTTCGCTTTGTGGTGTGTCCCGAATAAACGTATTCATCACTACGAATTTGTCTTCTGATTTATAAACCGCCAGACGCTAATTAGTGACGATCGTCTGAACGAGCTAATTGCCGAGATTAAGAACACGCAGTAAAACGACACACTACGCATCCACTGAGGGGGTTATGGTTGATTCGGCTGGGACTGTAATTCAAGTTGCGACGATTCATAGTAAGAAAAAAGTGTGCACGGATTGGGTGTTTGCTCTTTGATGAGCAGTTTGTTAGGAGTTACTTTGAGGAGCGCGATAATGATGTTTGGCAAGATTATCATGTTGGAATTATTCGGTCTTCATAATATGGTATATGCCGTCATTTGAACAACTCTGCTTCCAATATAACTCAGAATGAATAATCTCAAGTGGTGAAATCTACATTTTTGAGGTTTATTCTTTAACCATAACTCTATTTAGTTGCTTGACTATGCACTAGATCCAGGAGAATTATGTCTTCTTCAAGAAGAGAGGAAGTGACGACATTGTGAGCTTCGAGGTGTAGGCGTGTGTACGTATTGAAGAGAGTTGTCTTCATACAAATTAAAGAGTCGATGTAGCCTTGGCTGCGTCCCGCACGTATTTTGAGCATGTGTTTAGGTTTTCTGTGGTTATAAGACTGAGATTACTCTTTGAGACACTAGGGAGCGGATTTCATTTGAGGAATTAGGTTGTTCTCCTTAGGTGGGTCAGGATGTTCACTAAGCGACTTTTCGATGGGTTCAACTGTAAAGGTTCTAGATTATAGTACGAATAGTGTTACACTCTGGTGACCTTTCTGGGCATAGGCATTTGAATTTTATTAGTAACAATCCACGAGTGTGTCGGCTACTCCCTGATCCCTCAGTTGCTACTAAGTTTTAGTAGTACTCTGAACATGTAGGTACCTGGTTTACCTGGGTGGTAAAAATCTCAGCCATCTCTAAGTTGGCAATAACTCCTGCACTTGAACCTTTGATAGTTTAAACATCATAGTTTGTAGGATTTCTTTAGTCGTGAACTTAAACAGATACATTGATATTGCCTGTATTATGGCAGCTAGCTCTGTTCGGAAGTACTTCCTATCGCTTCGAACATTGGCATTACAGGTGTTTCTTAATGTCAAGGAACACATTCGGTAAGCATTAGTCGGAAAGACTTCCCACCCCTACTAGACCTATGGAAAGAATTCTGTGCCACGTTAAACTCACTTGCTTTTCTAAGGACTGCATTTTGAATGATGTCTCACACTGTTTGCTAGTGATGCTCTAATGTTAGCTCACACTGTTCTCGTGGTCACGGGACGTGAAGAAGATGCTCTATTGTAGTGTATTTCGCTCTAGTTTAGCAAAGGTAAAAGTCTTCCTCGTCCCTCCCGAGTATTTCGTTTATGATCATGTTAAAAAAGGCTGCGTCATGATCACCACTTCCAAATGCTGTATGGATATGGACATCCTCGACCAGGAGCTGGTCGTTTGTCAACAAAATATCCAATTTTGGAGCTGCATACATCCTCATTTAACAGAGAACTTCTAATACCAAGTCGTCTCTGGAACCAACCAGTGGGAGTTGTACCCTATCTAGTGAGATTGAGAGATTGAATATTGAAATTTCCAACTGAGAGCATTTGATAAAACTCAAGGAGTGGTAGCTGAAGTATTGCATCAGTCTGAACTTCTGTTTTCCAGGGGGCAGGTAAATCTCTTTAGTCAAGTATTTTGTGCCATTCACGTTGAGGCAACATCAGTTTGTTAGATGCTGTGTAGTCTCGGCTTTGAAATGACTGTAAATATATATAGACATTCTGTATCGGAGGTGTCATGTCTTGCAAGCTCACTTCTATGTCTGCACTGCTGCGAGATAAACGTGTTTCAGTTAAGATGATCTTCAAGTACAGCTGAGAACACATATTTCTGATCTCTTCCGGCTTACCCATCAGTCCTTTTACTTTGCTGCTGAGGTACTTCGTGCTTTGTCTCATCACCTAGTTAGCATCTGCCACGACATCCGAACTCACTTTTAAGTAGCAAGCAGCCGCTATGGATATTCGATCGTGCTATGTATTCAGTTGGCAAAACCGTGGTCTCTGCATATCTATCATTGGTTGTCAATGGATGTTATTCGAAACTGATAGGTGTTTTATTTGGCTTCACCTTTTTGGATAACTGAAACAGTTTGGCTCTCACAACGGCTCATATGATCACAGAGATCACGTTTCCTGCTGTACCACGACTGAAGCGCCCCAGTCAGGTCTTTACTATTTCTAAAGTTCACAGCCATCAGACGCGTCGACTAAGTAGACTTGGTATGTGATAGGAAAGGCACCTAGGAAGCGCTGATTGCAGTGAAGGTGAGAAGGCTATGTGATAGCCACTACCACTGTTGCATGTGTAAGAGATTAATCCGATCTGCCAATTACCAGTTGGGGCACTCTGTCGACAACCATGTTGGTTTGTTCTTGGGTGTTCATTGATGTTTTGTCAGCTCGTACTAACCATGGTTTCGTGTGCCTTATTCGGATTAGCGAGGACAGTTAAATCGAGACCCCCGAAACGGTAAAAAATTTTCCACGGCAACTCTTACCGGACCTAAACTTGGAACAAATTGTGCCCATGAGATACAAATACCAGAACTATGAATGAACTTGAGTCGTCACGATTTCCCACTGCTGCATTTTCACTTTTGTTTCAAAGGCTTTGGGCGTAGTAAAATTTCACGTAAATCCTAGTCACTCGTGCTAACCCTTGTAGTCAGTTCACTACTGTCCATGTTATTGCATTGTTACATCTAATAACAAAGCAGCTGATCAGGATAACTAGGCCCATCAAACATTTTAAACGCAAATCCTGTTGTTTTTGATAAAGTTAATAAACTAACTGAATATGTGTACGACTGATCGTGCAGGTCGCTTAGTTAATGAAAGTGAAGTTGGATTGATCTGCATGATGTTATTGGCGATAAATCTGAGTCCAGTTATCTTATCTATCATAACGGTCAGAAAACAGTGAAAGATAGTTTGTTGCTTGACCGCTATCATTCTGTGCATTTTATGAAGTTGCAAAGACACTCATTGAGCCATCCTGCTGAATGATTATATGTATGTACAATTTATAACGATTTTACTTTATTGGCATGCTTAACATCAGTAAATTGATGAAAGAGGGTGCGTAGCACGGCGTACCTAGTGGTGATGGGTGCGGATACACAAACAGCTAGGGCGTGTTTACCAAAACGAACTAATATCAAAGCCAAGATCCTGATATTGTTTACATACTTCTGAAACCTTTAAATGGACCTTTGGAGTTTGTTTTCCCCTTTTATAAAAGTGTTCCGGAACATTTTTCTGAATAATCTGCTTTATGTTTGTTGAGAAAAACACGCAGTTGAGCTTCCCAGAACAAAGGAGGTACTAAATCGTAAAAATCGAAGATTGCTTAGTGTTATAAAGATATAACCTGACATGACTAAATAAATAAATCGATAATAACATTGAACATAGCTGCGTATAATGCGCTACGCTTTCCATTCATGTCTAGACAAACGCAATTACGCAAATCACGGGATATGCAAACTCTTAAATAACTGATAACGGACTAGAATGAGTCCATTGGAGTGGGTTGACTACCATCCTGTATAATATCAAATACCAGGAACCGGACAAAAACAACAATCATCGCGCATAAAGAAATCAACCGGTTTACGCTATTTCGTGAAATATATATTGAGTATTAGATATACTAGATAAGAGTGACGAATTTCGAATATCATCTATTGTACATTGAACTTAATTCTGTGTTGTTTGTTTCTGGATTTTTTTAATAATTTTATTATTAAGCAGTGCCTTTTAAAACTTTCTAAAATGTTTTTACTTGCTTAACCATTTGACACTTTCCCACTGCTTTCAAAGTTCTATTTGTGGCGCTTGTGTCTGAGGTTTGACTGTCTGAGGTAACTATTTCTGCGTATTATTTCCCAATGTGCTGTAATCGCTGTGCTTTTAAAATCTTTGTCTGCTAGCTTTAGTTATTAGAAACAGATTCCTCCAGTTTTTTAACTGTCACTGAAGTTCAACCTTCACATTCTATCATGATAATCATCAGGTTGCCGTCTGCAAACTTTGACTCCAGTGCCTGTTTACAATATAGTAGTAACGTGGCTCAGCATTTCTTATAATCAAGTTTTTGTCCAGTTATCTGATCAGGTTATCATATTATTATTGTGTGTGTGGATCTAACGGTGAATTTCTGATAAACAGAATCACAAAGCACAAACTGCTTTTAAGATTGTAGTCGGATTTCGCTTTCTGTACATCGATATCAGAATGGTCCAGCTCTTATTTTACGTGGCACGTACGGAACGAAGCTAGCATACTCCTGAAAATACAGGTTGAAGGAATTTCTGAATCATGACGTATTTCAGGGCTGTAATGAATTAGTAGAGATATTTCATAGATTTTTAGCTCCTGTTAAATCTGCGTAAAATTAAAAACGTTAAAATTGATTTCCACTGCTTTACTTAACCTTGTAATGATTATCTAGAATATGTTGTGCTCTATCTTTTGAGAAACATCCAGTTAGCCTATCCGAAATAATTAAAACAACCTAACTCCCAGCATAAACATGTTGCTGAGTAAAGTTAAATATAATTATAAGATAAACCATCGTGAATTAAGCTAGTGAAAAGTTGTAAATTGGTGTTGCACAATCTTGTTATTTTGACGATTTTTATGATCTTTCACTACTTGAGTTCTTCCGTTCGTCTTAAAGATTTTCCTCTTAGTACTGACAAATCTTTCACAGCTTGTGTTGATATACATTTCACAAGGTGCTATGTTGTCTGTAATTTGATTGCATTGATTCAGGAAAATATCCACATTCAGTTTCATGATATTGGTTAGATTCAAATTATCAATCATAAACAGTTGTGTAGGTCAACTTGTCGAAAAGTACAAATACGTTAAATGTAATTCTAAGCTCATGCTATCGATTCCAAGCTGTTACGTTACTTCTACCTGTTAATTTCCGCCTGCACAAAGATCACACGTAGCAAGCCTGTTTCGTGTTGTAATAGAACTCGACCTTATTTAAATTTCAAGCTGCACATATTTCTCCCCTATGTATCCGAACTTCTTACCTATGAATTTTAGTATTTTTTTGCATCCTTGTCTTTTCGTTTCTTGAGTTATATAAGTTGTCCGAATTTAGATCTATACTTGTTTACTTCCCAAGCCTTTGTCGAAAAATTATCTCAGATGTGTAGCATAATGGCTGAAAGCCAAGTAAATTTTTATTACTGGGATAATAAATGCACATGTCAGAGTAAATGAAATACATCTCATTAAAAAAACATAATGCCCTTTTATCTTCTTTTTCAGATAACAAATGGACTTCCTAGTGGAAATAGATGATGAATTGGATTATGTAAGTTTAAAATATTTCTATTTATTTGGTTTATAATTTGGTTTATTATATACGAATGTCTAGTTATTGTTACAGATAGGTATTTTTAATTTACGGTTTAATTCAATTACTAAACTGTACAATGCAGTGGAATAAATTTATCTAGGTTTACCGGCCTTTCGATTACCATTTGCACATTTCATCCTCATAGGTTTAATGTATAAATTTGGTGTTCAATAATTTAGAAATTAAATACGTAGGCATAAAAGTATTTGATCCAAATGTAATAAACTGAAATCATGTTGACAAACAAGAAGTCCCAATGTACATGAATTAAATTCTTTTCTCTCATAAGTAGAATGACTTACTGTCCTTCTAGGTTTGGTTATTATAAAAGAAGTTGCCAAGCATATTTCTTGTGAGTACAAAGTCCCTGTCTTTCACTTTGAATAGCTTCTGTGTTTGCTGTTGGAAAGATATTGACTCTGATAAATTTTGGCAGACAACTAATAACACTACAAACTTCTGGGAACGATTAATGTGCGCTATTGGTGTGAGACGTTTAATAAATAAAACAAGGTGATAAGATAATGAATCTTCAAGTGAGGTATTTGGAACATATTTGCCAGTGAGTACGTACGTACATCAGTTCAGGTTGCCATACCACATTAGCACAGAGACTCAATGGTCATTTCAAATTCCATAGTAGTTGAGGTAGTAAAAGTATTAGCAATAATCGAAGAGATTATGGTTCGAGCATATTATTCAACAACCAGAATCTACCTTCTTTGATAAGCAATGCTATCTGGTGTTGGAGCAGGTTGGAAGAAAGCTAGGGACAGCCAATGACTGTTGGACCGAGCCATGTAGGTAGGTGCAGACCACTTTGTTAGGGCCCACGTGGTTATCGCAACCAGTGTTAGAGACTATGTGATATGATTTAAAACCTATGGCACCAACATAGAGTCATTCATTCTTCTTTTATTCATTGTCTCGATTGTCAAAATCTCCTTGTACTTTTCTAACACCTAATTCTTTTTATTACCACTGATACTGTTATTATATCTATCACTCTGAGATATAGTTGAGTTATTCTGTCATCTGGCTGTTCTAATGTGTTGTAGCAACTTGCGATGCACTTATATGTTAGGTCCTACATTGCATACCGCCGACTGACTAAAGTGAACAAGTGTTGAGCTATTTACGAAATTCACTATACTTTCACTTAGCCGCATTGTAGTATATTCATCACTATAGAAACATGAACCTCTAAAACATTTACTTATGTTTCACATGAGTAAGTGAGTTGATTGGCATAAAAATGTGGCTAGTTGTATTTGTACAATTTATCGCTGAATCTCAATGTCATCATTGGACGCATAGAAAACATCAGGTGTGACTTTACTGCGCTTAAGGTTGCTTGAATTGTTTCACACAACTTTAATTCACATTTCTCTGGGTACGTTACCTTTAAATAGTAAGCGTTTAAACAGCGCAAATCCTTTTGACTTTCTTTTGCCTTCTTGTCAGTAGCTAAGCTCCTCTTTCGTCTCACTTTTTTTATGGTTCAGAATGAAAGTGAATCACCTGTAACTCTTAAAAGAACCAATACAGGAGACTTAAAACCTTCACAACCTAAATCAACTAATCCAAGTGATAAAAGCCGTCGTACTGTAGTTTCACCTCGTGAAGAAGGCGAAGCTTATTCAGATGATGAAAATGATTCTAACATGCCACCAGTTGATTCAAAACGTGAATATAACAGTAAACAAATGAGTTATTTTGATAAAGAAGAAGGTGAAGCATCCAGTGAAGAAGATCGACGCTATGACAATGCAAGGAGAGAAAAATTAGCTTCCAGTAAACATCCTCCAGGAAATACTAGTTTAACACTTGAGGAGAATCAATATCGAAACCGTTTACATGAACGATATGAACGTCGTGAACGTGAAAAGAAGCGAATGCGTGATAACATAGATTCAGAGCCAACAATGCATGGTTCAAGTCAACATGGACGTCCTGCATATTACAATGAGAATTCTACTTCAAGCAGTGAAAGAGAAGGTATCCATTCTAATGCAAAAGTTGAAGAATCAGAAGGTACTCGAAAGTATCAATCTTCTAAACAGTCAGATTCAAAGCAGAGAGGTAGTTTTAATTAAAGCCTAAATTATTTTTTGTCTAAGATTTTTTTTAAAATAATAGTTTACTTAATATAGGTTACATTTCCAAATTTATACCCATTCACTGTATAACTTAGTATAAGATAATACTTAGAATACTTAGAGTGAATTTAAGGAAGGCTATAGGGTATAGTAAAGCCATATATATATCACTGATTTGTGAATTTTTTGATATTTTGATCTGAAATCTGTTGAAAGTTAGGGAAATTCTTTATCACGGTCTGGGTGATAGGAAGGATTTGATTTTGACCAATTTCGTCTCGTGTGTTGTTACGGGTATGAGGGCGGTTGTCACTTGCTGGCTGCCCACACCATGGAAGGTTGTTTCTTGAGGAACCTGAAAACGAAGATAGATTAGTGTTGGTCTTGGAGACCTGGGTGCGTGACCGCGGAGCCCAAGTGACGGCTGCTTGAGGCCGGTCACGCACGGCCTTTTTATGAAGGGTTTTTTGAGTAGTAGCTCCGCTCTTAAAAGCCCTTAGTTGGCACCCTTACCCACGGAGACGGAAATCCGTGAGGTAGGGTGAGGTGTGACATTTTTAGGGTCGATCTTTTCTAACCCCTTCCTTCCTTGTGAGAAGGCAGCATCACCGCAGATGCTGGTTGTCCGAGGGAAACACCTTAATGCTATCACACCCCTCTGCAGTCAGTCAGCAGTACGACTTCGCCCTCAGACCTTGAGTAGCTGCTTTTAGTCTCATCGTTCTCCAATCGACCTGCCTGGCATGGTAGAACCTTCAGGAATATATGTTCCAGCCAGTATAGCTCGGTTGGGTCATCACGATAGGCAAGCCTGACCACCACGTCAAGGTAGCAGCTACGGTCGGGGGGTGATAGCCGTGATTAGTGATTAAAATATTAGGGGTGACATTATAAGGAACTATTTTCATTCATGTGTTTTAATGTTAATTCATTATAAAATAAATGAGACCAGCGATAAAAGGAATTTCGTTGTAAAGTACTAGAATGTTTAAATCTATCGGAATGTAAGGAGTAAGCTGGAAGAAATCTAGGGTTAGCCAGACCAAAGAAACGGTCAGTCAGTTACAACATAGAACTTCGTACGTAAGTACATCAGTTCAGGTTGTCATGCCGCATTAGCACAGAGACGCAACTGTCAGTTCAAATCCAATAGTGGTAGCGATAGTAAAAGTATTAGCAGTAATGGAGAAGTTTAGGGTTCGAAGATATGATTCGAGAAGTATAATTCAGTAAGATAACTTAAGGAAGAAAGAGTTAGAGGTGATGATGAATTCAGAAGATCAGAATGTTATAGAACACAAAGAATAAATGCGCCTGCGCCATTACAAACGATTTTGAGTCATGTCGTTCAAAGTCTCTAACCATCGGTGATTTTCATCTCACGGACTCCAACCAGGTAGTCGACACCTACCAACATGACTCAACCCAGTTTTCAGTGACTTCATGGATTTCTGCCATGTTTTGGTTTGACCGCCCCCAGCTTTCTTCCAACCTAACCTACTCCCACACCACAAAACATAGCTCGTCGAGGCAGTCGGTCGTTGGGATATGTGTTATGCATACTCAACCACCTCAGGTAATGGAGTTTCACTACTTCATCCATTGATTTGCCATCCCTTCCTTGTAGTCGTTTCTTAACGACAGCATTGCTTACTCGGTTGTCCCAAGATAAACGAGCACTGCTTCGAAGATATCTATAATCGAAGTCACAGATAACGGATCTGACCCATGTTAGTATGTGTAGACTATCTGGTTGGGGTCCGCAAGACAATAATAATCGATGGTTAGAGACTTTCAATGACATGACTCAAAATCATTCGCAATGGCGCAGGTGCATCCAGTCTTTGTGTTCTCCCAAATCCTTTCTACACCCAATAACTCTAACTGATATCATTTACTATATCTACTGGCTAGTCTCTATCGTCTTAAAAACTAATCGTTCTAAGTTAAGAACTTGATTGTTTCGATGTGAGTTGTCAGAGATCTGAACGCAGCGCATGCTCTAACCTCTCAAAACTGGCTACTTAAGAGATATGATTAGAAAAAGTCTATTTGTGTTGAATTAACTACCAGAAGCCAGCCTACAGGGGCTTCCAAGAAGATGAACAGTTTCTGTCCATTCACCACAGCTTGATAGAATCTCTTGAATGTCGATGTTTAGATGATGCTGGCATAACATCAGTGTTTGCGGATTGGATTGTTTTAATGATGTTTTCACTCGATGCAGAAAACTATAAGCGCGCATAAGTTTTCTGTACATTTGTAACACTTCAGAGTAAAGCGTTTGTCTTGGTTACAGTTTAAACTTAGGCTAGGGTTACTCGAAGAGTATGGAAAACCGGATCTCATGTTCATTTGGCTACCGAAATATATATATATATATATATATATATGCTCATATATGTCAGAAAATGAATCCATTTTTTGGCCAATAGTATTCATTCGTCTTTAGTACATTTCTGATGGTCATCAAACTACCTTCATCAATTGAGGTGGTTGGGACATGTGTTGCGTATGCCTAACCACCGACTGCCTCGTCGAGCTATGTTTTGCAGTGTAGGAGTAGATTGGAAGAAAGCTAGGGGCGGCCAAACCAAAACATGACACAAATCCGTGAGGTCACTCACAAGTGGACAGAGTCATGTTGGTAGATATAGGCTACCTGGTTGGAGACCGCGACACGAAAGTCACCGATGTTTAGAGACCCTGAATGACAAGGCTCAAAACCGTTTGCAGTGGTGCAGGTGCATTCATTCTTTGTTTTCTCTCAAATAATAACCTGAATTCCTCATCATCTCTATTTTTCGCTTACTATAGTTATCTCAATTACACCTCTCGAATCATCCAACCCAACTAGTGATAGGGAGTAAAGTAGTTGCGCGTGCTAATCGCTTCCCTTATGTTGGGAGTCTCATCACTTCTGATGGCCCGGTGTGTGGTGAATTCTCGGCATGGATACAGAAAGCTCGACTGGCTTTTGCCAACCTGTGTCATTTATATCGTAGGCGAGATATCCATCTGACAACGGATGAACGAGTTTATGGTGTGACAATTCGCGTCGTCCTTCTATATAGGTGTGAAACTTGGCCACTGAGTAGAGGCATTCGTAGGTTACTGGTTTTCAATCTCTGGTGTCTTCAAAGCATTGCTCGGTTATTCTGGGACAATCGAGTAAGCTGTGTATTTATTAGGAAAGGTTGGCAGATCAGTAGATGAAGTATTGAAACTTCATCAGTTGAGGTGGTTGGGACATGTGTTGCCAGCGCTCAGCCACCGACGTCCTTGATTAGCGATATTTTGTGATGTAGGGTCAGCTGGAAGAACGCTGGGGGCGGCCAAAGCAAGACACGACACAAATCGATGAAGTCACATACAAGTGAACTGAGTCATGTTAGTCGGTGAAGACTACCTGGTTTTGGTTCCGCAAGACAATAGTAACCGATACTTAGAGAATTAAATAGCTCAAAATCATTTGCGATGGTGCAGATGCATCCATTCTTTGTGTTATTTCCAGTTCTACTGTTCTCAATTCCTTATCCTACTTAACTTTTTCTCTCTCTAACTTTATTTCACTAGATTATACTCCCTTAATAGCATCTTCAAACTCTAATCTTTACGATTACTTCACATACTTCTACTGCATCTACCTGATTAGGATTTGAATTGACAATCGCTTCTGTGCCCTAGCATGGTGTGGCAACGTGAACTGATGTACGTACGTATGTACGAAGTTGTACGTTGTAGCTAACTGACTATAATCTTTCATTTAGCTATTTAAATCAACATGTTGGCTATATTGTCGTTATATTTATTATTCTTCTTATTATTATTATTTTCTAAAGATCGAATAATGACGTCTACAGCTAGTCAACCATTAGATAAATCACCTCAAGATAATCGATCATACAAAACAATTGTACAGACAGAACGTGAAGAATACCTGTTAAAATGTAATCAAAATCAATCCACTTCCATGATGATATCCGATAGAATTATTGATTCACAAACTACTATTTATACCACGGATGAATTAAATCCTTCCCAATTAGAAATAAATCGTAAAGTAAAATCAAAAAAATCTAAACGAGATCGTAAAGAGAAAGATCGTAAAATGTCTACATCAAAAAATCGTGATGTGATGTTGTTGGTAAAAATGAAAAAAGACAATAAACAACAACGAAAAATTACCTCTTCCGGTGCAGGTACCATTAACAATCCATCAGATTTTCATAATTGGGAATCATTTCAAAAATATGCTAAATCAACAACAGATCGTCATCATGGCTCTCTATTACAAAGTCGTTCAGGTTCATTAGATTCTATTTCATCAGCTTCATCACAACTGAGTAAACTTTCTGCTTATTCTGGTTATTCATCACATTCGTCGCCAGTGACAACATATCGTAAGTCAACATCATTAACAAGTGGTCATCAACAATCACAGCAACAACCACAACAACCACAACCACTTCGACATACATCTCAATCACCTCATGATCTTGATGATGAATCGTATGGTTATTATTCTAAGAAACGTTATCATCGTGAAGCTAGAGAGACTGCACCACCACCTGAATCAACACGTCATTATACTGGTTCGAATGCACAAATATCAATGAAAATGAAACATAAACGTAAAGCTGATAAACGTGAACTGTTGGAAAGTAGTAACAATAATAATTATAGTACAATCAATTTACCAAATAAACGTGAAAAACTATCACAAGATAAAGAAAATGCCAATCTAGACATAGACGACGATTCACGTACTACACATTATCGTCATCATCATCATCATTCTATTACAACAAGTTATATTAAAGGTAAAATGTTAAAATCTGTTGGAACTGAACCAAGTAAGCATAAAAAACATTCATCATCATCGTCATCATTATCATTGAAAAGTTCAAAATTAAAATCCGGTAATCGATTGACGTTGAAAAGGTTATCGTCCAGTTCCAAACATGCAAATGATTATGAACAAGAAGAAGGGGAAGAGGAAGTAGAAGAAGGCAATGACAACAGTGTAGTACAACAGCAACAACACCAACACCGCCAACAACAACAGTATTCTGAAGAAAATGATTCAGATGATTCACATACTAAACGAATCAATCATGATGGCAGTTATAATAATAAATCGATAGATATAAATGAGAAGATTAGTGGAAAATCTAAAGAATCATCACAAGGATTATTATTTCCTACTGGAAATGAAATAAAAAATGAATTCAATCGACTCCATCTACCGCCAGCTCCACGTTATCCAGGCTATTCAGAATCTTCTTCATCATCAGATGAGGCGGAGGATGACAATGATGTAGCAGTAGTTGGAAATAATTTCTTACGTAATGATCATGAAATGAAAGTTGGCGATGAAGGTGATGATGAGGATGATGTTAACGATGATAAGTATAGAGAACTACGTAAAGGTGATGATGGTGTTGATGATGACGATGATGATGTTGATAATGAAGATGCAGTCGACTCGTTTAAGAATAAACCACCAGGAAAACCATTTTATTTTCCATCTATACAAGTAAGAGGATACTACTTTTTTCAAATATTAAGTAGTAATAGTAATATTAATAATAATAATTATTATTATTGACTTATTTTCTACACTCAATAATAATCAATAACAAGGTCTTTAATGAAAATTATCATGTGCTCATTAGTGTCTAGTTTCATGAGAAGGTGTCCCCAAGTTCTAGTGAGAAGTCCAATGACTAATAGAGTTCAACCCTGTTCGATTGTATGAAGCAGTACCCATCGAGGATAGTAGATAAGGTTGCGCAAGGCCATGAATTGATCGATATTAGACATTAACATCGTCGGATACTGGCCTAGTAGTCCAGAGGTTAAGAGTTTGCGCGCAAGATCGAAGGTCCTGGGTTCGATTCCTGCGGTTGACTGGATTTATGGATGCGCACTGTTGATAAGTCCCATACTAGGACAAAACGGTCATCCAATGAGATTCCAGGTTTATCAACGGGTTGGTCTGACATTGATCGATTCATGATTTCAATAAATATCATATTTTGTCTGATTCCTTAATACTCTCACTAATTTTAATTCAAATGTGATCAATAATCGAGTTGATTCCATATCACATGCATTGTAATTTGATGTGTGAATTGCTCAGACATGGATATTAGTAAAATTTTGAATCGCGAATCAATTACCTGTGAACATGTGTCTTTAAGTGATACCTAGATATTTATACACCACACAAGTTATTGGATTTATCAGAGTGGGCTGGATTATTGCCTAGATGCCCAAACCGAAGGAAGTGATTTTCATAGAGAGTCATTCCTTGAGTCTTTGATTCACCGGCCTAATCCACAAAACAGTGGAGTAACGTTCAGAAGTGCAGTTCCATGGTTATCAGTGACTAGACAGTAAGTTTGTAGGCCATTCGTTCCATCAGAATACTGTATATTACTAGTGTGGAATGAGGGTTTTCCGACTCCTCCAATCGGATACTTTGTACCCACCAAGCAGTTAAAGTCTGGACATTCACTTCTCAGTCTTAATTTTATCAACAATAACTGTGCTACGAGAAGGTAGTTGGTTCAACTTTCCTGGCAATGTCTATATAAGCGTGACCATAGGTGGGGATTTTGAGAGGGAGAGTGAACTTTCTCCTCTATCGGCCGTACGAGAGCATTTGGGGGCTTCAGTATACTGGTGGAGGGTTGGAAAGGTGGTTGTATTTTTATTAAAATTACTAACCACAATATTAGTTTGAAGACTTGGAAGCACTAGACAGCTGTTTTACCTGCGTCACGAGACAAGCCCTCACATGGAACCCTCAAGGCAAAAGGAAAAGAGGAAGGCCAAGGAACACATTGCTCCTAGAAATAAAGAAAGATATGAGAGGAATGAACAAAAATTGGACAGAACTGGAGAGGGAAGCCCAGGACAGAGTTGGTTGGTGAAAACTGGTGGGCGGCCTATGCTCCATTGGGGGTAACAGGCGTAAGTAAGTAAGTAATAGGTCTGACTTCACAGCAGTCCATGTTCACCAACTCGGTGTCGGTGATCACAAAGCCTTTCAGTCATGCACACGAAGAACAGTTATGCCCTAGGCGACTTAGCCATCGGATCGGTAAATAATCGTTTATTGTATATTGCTCTGTTTATGAATAATGAGATAATAACTCACCGTTTATGTGGGTTGGTTACTGGATATCATACTGAAGAGAGACAGATGAGCATTTCCACGCTTGACGGTGCTATAGTAGTCTATTGATTCAATCACCTTCTAGTGGTTAGTATCACTAATCTCATCTCTGTTGTTAATTCGCGCTTCTGAATATATTCGTTACTTACTTACCTACCTACTTACACCTGTTACCCGTAATGGAGCATCGGCTACCGAACAGCAAGGGGGTCACTAACTCCATGATGCCCAACCCTCCTCCTTTCTGTGCGGGCTAGGGATTGGCAGTAACCCGGGCTCCAGATGGAGTTGAACGAATGAAAAAATGCCCTCTTTCTCTCTATCTATCATAATTTACCGTTTTAAACCGATCATTATTTGTATCTTTCTGTCTTTAGGGTTGTAGATCAGTGGAAGAATTTGAATGTCTAAATCGTATTGAAGAAGGCACATATGGTGTTGTCTATCGGGCACGTGATAAAAAAGTCAATGAAATTGTTGCATTGAAACGTTTAAAAATGGAAAAAGAACGTGATGGTTTCCCTATTACATCATTACGTGAAATTAATATGTTGATGAAAGCTCAACATGAAAATATTGTTACTGTACGTGAAATTGTAGTCGGTAGTAATATGGATAAAATCTATTTAGTCATGGATTATGTGGAACATGATTTAAAATCATTAATGGAGGTAAATGGGGTGCTTTTGTACTTGTTTGTTGGGTATGTTCGATACCCAAAACTCGCTTGATAAATATCTTTATGTTGGATTAATTTTTATGGACTGATCAGTTGACTTTGAGATCACATTTCTCCTCCAGGAAAATCCTTGGCTGTGATTGGTTACTGTGTCATTTTAGTGTGTTATTTTTGTGTTTGTCCCAAGGACGTCTCTAAAGAGTATAAATAAAAGCAGTTTGAGTGCTTGGATTGATTGTGAGCTGGCTGGGTGTTTGGAGAATACAATTTGAACACTACGTCAAGGCTTCTTGCTGGTACAGTTGGGTCAAGAGGTCACAGTAGCCTCCCTGGACTCTGGTCGATTGTTTTGTTCTCTTTATTCTTCTAAGGTGAACTCGTAATAGCTTAAGCATGCCTATAGTCGAACGTAACAATAATATATAAATTTTTTAGTGAATATCGTTTGTCGTACATACATACATTGATTCAAGTTGCCATTCTACGATAGCATAGAAATGCAATTGTTCTATAGATAGTAAAAGTATTAGCGGTAATAGAGAAGATAACGGTTCGAGGATATTATTCAATGAAATAAATTTGACGAGAGAAAGATAAATTTGATAAAACACCAAGAGTAGATGCACGATTTTGAGCCATGTCATTCCAGATCTCTAACCATCGATTATTATCATCCTCTCACGGACCCCAACCAGGTAGTCTACATTATCCACCAACATGATTCAGTGACTTCATGGATTTGCACCATGTTTTGGTTTGGCCGCCCCTAGCATTCTTCCAACCTACCCCAACGACACCACAAAGCATTGCTCGTCAAGGTGGTCAGTAATTGGGCATACGTAACACATGTTCCGACCACCTCAACTAATGAAGTTTCAATACTTCATCTATTGATTTGCCATCTTTACCTAGTACTCGTTTCCTAACTATAGCATTGCTAACTTGGCTGTCCCAGGATATATGAGCAATGCTTCGAAGACACGTATGATCGAATATTGGTAACCTACGAATATCGTCGCTTTCAAGTTGCCATACCACATTAGCACATAGAGATTCAATTGTTAATTCAAATCTCATAGTGATAGTTCTAGTAGAAGTATTAGAGGTAATGTGAAATATTAGAGTTCGAAGATATGATTCAAGAAGGTATAATCCAATGAGATAAGCTTAAAAAAAGGAGAAAGACAAAGGTGTAGAGGAATTGAGAATAAGAGTAGAATTTAAGAGATGATGACAAAGAGAATGAATGCACTTGCGCCATTTCAAACGATTTCTGGCCTTGTTGTCATTCAAAGTCTTTTCTAACCACCGGGATTACTATTGTCTCATGGACCCCAACTCCGGGGTAGTCTACATCTAAGTTAGTTGTCAGCGGAGTTCAACCCTGTCGAATGTAGGCAGTAAATACCAAAGACTCATGGATGAGGTTCTGCAAAATCCTTAGATTGATTGATCAGAGTTAAACAATAACACTGTTGGATGCTGCCTCCAGCTCTGTGGTCCAGAGGTTAAGGGTTCGAATCTTGGGCAAGTAGCGGTAGAGTCATCTATGCGCACAAAGCGATAAAGCGAATGTTACGATATTCATGCAATATCCTAAGAGAATTATTGGTCAAATCCTATTGGTCAAAATTATGGTCAAAGTCAAGTACTTAAATGTTGTCTCTTATTGGTCATCCTGACTATCAATCTCACTTCAAATGTTACTTCCTATTGGTCGTCCTAATTGTCATCGTCACAGAATTCGATGCTGTTTCCTATTCGACCAGAATATATAAATACGCATTATCTGAAACGTTTTATGACCACGACCGGGATCAGGGCTCGGTCCTGGATCCCTAGTCTGGGATCCTGATTCTCTTCTGGATTCGGACCTCGTACTTTCTGGATGCTTGTAGAATACAGGTTCTACTTCACATTCAAGTCTTCTTGTTTAAACTAAATATGAGGGTTGGGATAATCGGATTTGAGTAGCATGTCGTGTTGCCGGATCCTTGATCCTCGCTTTCGTTTTTCTGACTAGATAAACTCATAATAGTTCAAGTATATCAAGTTGACGTGTTTACGTGCAGGCATAACAGCAAATTTAATCAAAACATTGATTTATTTTATTGATTTATAGATTATGAATGGTCCTTTCAGTGTTGGTGAAGTGAAATGTTTACTTGTACAATTATTAAGAGCAGTTAGTCATTTACATGATAATTGGATATTACATCGAGATTTAAAAACGTCAAATCTTTTATTAAGTCATCAAGGAATTTTAAAAGTGAGTTATTATTATTATTAATGTTATTTGTAACACTTTTACATAAAAAAGTTTCGATAGAAAAATGTAAGAATACATCTATTTTTTCATATTTGCCGCTCCTGATTTAAAATAATCTATCTGTAATCCTGGGAAATTTTTAGACATTTTCAGGGTGATTCAATGTTCTTAAACATAGTGGTGGTGTTTCGTTCTCTGAGCTGTAGATGTTTTGATTGTGAAGCTTTCATCATTGTCCTCCAGATGAACAAAGTCATCAGCACAAACTTCAGTTAGAAGAAGTGAAGTATTCAAGTGTTCTGTTAACCTCGAACTTGATTGGTTGCTGTTGACCTTAAACCTATCCTTGTTTGTACCTTTGTTTTGATTGTTTCCCCTTTTGGTCTGTTTCTTGATCCTATGTTTGCCTATGATTTTTTTGATTGGTTGCTAAATTGAGTCGATGCCGATGTGTTTGTAGATTGCTGAGTGACCTGAATGCCAAGCTTCTAAAAGCTCTCCACTGTTCTATGTGCTCCTCCTATCTAGTATTTCCACATTGTTCCAAGCCATTGTATGTCCGTAATTATCCGTATGAATTGATATAAGCTCAGAAATGTCATGGCGTTTGACTGCCGATTGGTGTTCACATAAATGAAGGTGAAGAGGACGTCCACTTTCTCAAACATATTATTTTACAGGCGCTGACATCACTTGAAGAGTGCTATTTGGAAATCATAAGGAATCAGACAGCCGTTTAGTCCTAGGCCGGAACTTTCTTCACAATTGCACGTCACCTCCACAGTCGCCTATCCTATAGTGCTTGAGTTTAATACCTTCAAAACTCGCTACAAGCGTACAACATTTAAAGCAGTCATTCATATTTTCGATTTTGGTCAATTTGTGGTCATGTCAAACCAGTCATTTGATTCCATGAGCTATTGAACGACGTGATTGGATACTGAACCGCCAAATGCCTTGGTACGGCCGACGACGGGGCGAATCCTTATTTCCTCTCCAAGTGTTCTCATATGGCCACACATGTTTAACCATTGCCTTCTCATCGCATAGATATTGTTTACGAAATCGAGAGGTTGTAGGATGAATTTCTGGCGGGGGCTTAAACTGGGTTGGTTGGGTGTTAATGGGACATAGACTGAATTTAAAGCATGCTTGCGTTGTTGCACGCTAATTGGCTCTTTCTTATCCAATCAGCGTTAGCCAATACTGGGGGAACATTCTAGAATCCTCTTTTTCCTTTGGAACTTCTGTCTTCCATCTAAACTTGTTCGTGGAATATAAATCTATTTTCTGCTCAACCGTGTTCTGATTTGGGAGAATGTTTCAAGTGAATTGGTGTCTGAGGATACTAAGCATTAGGAATAACTAGGTTGTAATAAAGAGAGAATTTTAACAGTGGGTATGGAGAGGTCCACCTACGAGAGTTGGAAAACTCTGATTTCAAACCATTGGTGCCACACAAACTTACTTTTAGTCACCGCCTGTGCCATGAGTGCATCTTCTGACGTCGTTCCACTGTCTATTGGAATAGACTTGTAAGTCAATGACTCAGGGAATCGCTCCGCAATGAAAATCACTTATTTCGCTTCGGACAGCCGGGCACAATATAATATCTAAGTCAACCTACAAATTCAATAGTTAGTGTTTTTAATCATAAACTTGATCGATTGATCAATTTTAAGATTGGGTTGCATCGGCACCTGAACTAGTGATAGGGAGTGAAGCAGTCGAGCGTGTAGACCGCTTCACTTATCTGGGCAGTCTTATCAGTGCCAATGGCCTGGTGACTGACGAAATCTCAGCACGGCTACAGAAGACTCGATTGGCTTTCGCCAACCTGCGTCACTTATGGCATAGGCGAGATATCCGTTTGCTGACTAAAGGACGAGTGTACTGCGCAGTAGTTCGCTCCGTGTTACTTTATGGCTGTGAAACATGGCCAATGAGAGTAGAAGATATTCGTAGGTTACTGGTTTTCGATCATAGGTGTCTTCGAAGCATTGCTCGTATATCCTGGGACACCTGAGTGAGCAATGCTGTCATGAGGAATCGGGTGCTAGGTTAGAATGGCAGATCAATAGATGAAGTAATGAAACTTCATCAGTTGAGGTGGTTGGGATATGTGCTGCGTATGCCTAACCACCGACTGCGTCGACGAGCTTTGTTTCGTAGTGTAGGAGTAGGATGGAAGAAAGTTGGGGGCGGCCAGACCAAAACATGGCAGCAATCCACGAAGTCACTGACAAGTGTAGTGAGCTATGTCGGTAATTGTCAACTACCTGGTTGGGGTCCCTAAGATGATGGTGATAATCGATGGTTAGATACCCTGAATGACATGGTTCGAAACCGTTTGCAATGGCGCCAGTGCATTTATTCTTTGTGTTCTCTCAAATCCTAATCTTCTGGATTCTTCAACACCTCTAGTTTTGACTTTCTAACCTTATCTCACTGAATCATACTTCTTGAATAATATCTTCTAATCCTAACCTCTCCGATCACTTCTAATACCTTTACTACCTCTTCTACTACTATTGGATTTGAATTGACAATTGTGTCTCTATGCTAATGTGGTATGACAACATGAACTGATGTACTTACTTAGGAAGTTCTACGTTGCATCTGACTGACTGATTGACTGAATTGATCAGTTTTCATTGCCATTCATTTTAATCATTCATCATTGATATACAGACTAGTGTGTTGTATAAATTACTGATTGGCATTTTTGCTTTTTTATTCTAGGTTGGAGATTTTGGTTTAGCTCGTGAATATGGTTCACCTTTGAAACATTATACTGAGGTTGTAGTTACATTATGGTATCGAGCACCGGAATTGTTGTTAGGTAATTTTGAATTGTGATATTTGTTTTATTACGCACACAATGTTTATGATCTAACTTAATATTCAGTGATGCACACTCATTCATGTTGTCAATTCATTGGTGAAACATGCCAGGTACCTGTTTTTTTCCCTAAGATCACAAATATTTCAAGCAAGTTTCTGTTACGCATGTACGTAAACATGTCAGTTTGATATGCTTGAATTATAACGGGTTTATCATAGTCGGAAAACAAGAGCAAGGATCCGGCGACACGACAGGCTACTCTAATCCGATTGTCCCAAACCTCCCATATTGAGTAAAAGAAAAAGACTTGATATGAAGCTGAAACTGTATTCTACAAACATCCAGAAAGTACGAGGTCTGAGTCCAGAAGAGGATAAGAATCACGGACTAGGGATCCGGTCCAGGTCGTAAAACGTTACAGATAATGCGTATTTATACAATTAGGTCCAATGGGAACCAACATTGAAGTCTGTGACATTTATAGTTAGGATGACCAATAGAATTTGACTTACAAACAATTATCTTAGGATATTGGATAAATATGTAGTGCCTCCCTACATAAACTCGAGTTCGCTCATATTTATTAATTTGATTAAGCCTTTTTCGATTAACTTATGTAATCAAGCTATTTGTATAACAACAACTCTTATGTGTACACCATTGGTATGAGCTTGTACGACTGAGCATTGCTTACCGCCTACGTGTATATTCATCCTATTCGCTTTAATGTTAATTAATCTCTTAAATACCTCAACGACGCAGACATTTTCCCTTTGTATATATACGAACATTTTAATCTTATTCATTCATTCATTCGCCCATTCGCACATTCGCTCGCTAGTGGTGCCTGCCCGGTCTGCTTGTAGTTTGCTGATCTATTTGTGGTATGCCACTTCGAGTTCACCTTCTGGATATATAAACCGTCAGACGCCATTTAGTAACAATTGTCTAGACGAGCTAATCACGAATCTTAAGAACACAATGAAATCGGCCACCGCAAATATCCTAACAATTTCCCCTTTTCTATTTTTCATACAACGATTATGTCCAGTAATCGCTTAATCTATTCAGGCGCACATATAAAAAGTTTACTAGCTATTACTATCACCTCACAAGGTACAAAAAATGCAATCAAATCTGCTCAGAAAACAATGCACGGTGTAATACGATGTGGACTCTTGAACTGATTACTTCAAACTGTCAATCAATGATTGTTTTGTAGAGGAAACTTGTTGAACTATTCGTTGTTGAGAGCTTCATACAGTACTCAGTGTATAACATTGAATAGAGCCACTATTATTATTGTTGATTTTCACCAATTTGGTCTCGTGTGCTGGTACGGGTATGAGGGCGGTTGTCACTTCCCGGCTGTCCACACCATGGAAGGTTGTTTCTTGAGGGACCTGAAAGGAAAGGTAGATTAGTGTTGGTCTTAGAGACCTAAGAGCGTGACCACAGAGCCCAAAGGACAACTGTTTGAGGCCGGTCACGCACGGCCTTTTTATGAAAGGATTTTTGAGTATTATCTCAGCTCTTGAAAGCCCTTAGTGGGCACCCTTACCGCGGGAGACGGAAATCCGTGAGGTAGGTTGAGGTGTGACATTTTTAGGGTCGACCTTTTCTAACCCTTCCTTCCTTGTGAGAAGGCAGCATCACTGCAGATGCTGGTTGTCCAAGGGAAACACCTTAATGCTGTCACACCCCTCTGCAGTCAGCAGTTATAATAATAATAATAATCATTATTATTAGTAGTAGTAGTAGTAGTAATAGTGGTAGTATAAGTTTTTGTCACAAACATCACGTATTTAACAAACACAAAACCCTAATCTGTTCCGTTTGATTATAATGTTTCTGTCTTATGTGAACTAGATAAGTGAAATGACAAATATCAATCATGAACAGTAAAACACGCATGAAATTTTGTGCTTTTTAATACTAATTGAATTTTAACATGTAACTTAAACATTTTAATCAATAAAATGTTCCAACTGTGTTGCATAATCGTTTACAATCACACAGGTGTGCATTCATTGTTTTTTTTCTCTTCTCTAAAATCTTGATCCTCTGGATTCTACATCACCTCTATCTTTCTCCTTGTTAAAATTTATCTCATTGAATTAATTATACTCCTTGAATAACATCTTCGAACCCTAATGTTTTTGATTACTGCCAATACTTCTGTTGCATCTACCACTGTAGACACTACCTGGTTGGGGTCCGTGAGATAATAGTAATCGATAGTTAGAGACCCTGGATGACATGGGTCAAAACTGTTTGCAATGGCACAGGTGCATTCATTCTTTGTATTTTGTCAGATCCTAACCTTCGGAGTTCCTCATCACCTTTATATATTTCTTTCTAAGTTTACTTCACTAGATTCTACTTCTTGAATAATATCGTCAAACCCTAAACTTTCCGATTCCTGTTCATACTTCTACTAACTCAACTACTATGGGTTTTGAAGTGACAATTGCATCTGTGTGCCCTGATGTGGTCCGGCAACTTGAATTGATATACGTACGTATGAAGTTCTATGTTGTTGTTGTTGTCAGTCAGTAGAGGTATTAGAAATATCAGCATTAGTCGGAAAGTTTAGGGTTCGACGATATTATTCAAGAAGTAGAATCTAGTGTAATAAACTTAGAAAGAAAATTATAAAGGTGAAGAGGAACTCTGAAGCTTAGGATTTGGGAGAACACAATGAATGAATGCACCTGTGCCATTGCAAATGGTTTTGAGCCATCTCATGACTGACTGATAGACCTCTGGAATGATACGACATGGAATTTGTATTGACCATTGCATCTCTGTTCGTTAATATGGTATGACAACTTAAACCGATGTACGTACGTACAAAGTTCTACAGTGTAGCTGATTGACTTGTACCTTGTAAAGTGATAACTCGTAAACATTTTTATGTGTGGACCTGAATAGATTGACCGATTAATGAACACACACACACACATTTTTTCTTGAATGACTAGGTAAGAATGGCAAATCAATAGACGAAGTAATGAAACTTCATCAGTTTAGGTGGTTGGGACATGTGCTGCGTATGCCTAACTACCGACCGCCTCGACGTAGGAGTAGGTTGGAAACCTACCCTAACCCTAACCAAAACATGGCAGAAATCCATAAAGTCATTGACAAATGGACTAAGTCATGTCGGTAGTTGTCGACTACCTGGTTGGGGTCCGTGAGATGATGGTAATAATCAATGGTTAGAGACCCTGAATGACATGGTTCGAAACCGTTTGCAATGGCGCCAGTGCATTTATTCTTTGTGTTCTCTCAAATCCTAATCTTCTGGATTCTTCAACACCTCTAGTTTTGACTTTCTAACCTTATCTCACTGAATCATACTTCTTGAATAATATCTTCTAATCCTAACCTCTCCGATCACTTCTAATACCTTTACTACCTCTTCTACTACTATTGGATTTGAATTGACAATTGTGTCTCTATGCTAATGTGGTATGACAACATGAACTGATGTACTTACGTACGCAGTTCTACGTTGCATCTGACTAACTGACTGACTATCCAATATACTACTATATTCTACTTTTTTCTTTTCAAAATTCCTAGGTACAAAACAATACACTTGTCCAATTGATTTATGGTCAGTTGGTTGTATTTTTGCTGAATTTTTGCTACAACGACCATTATTCCCTGGGAAAGGTGAAGTGGATGAATTGAATATTATTTTTCGTGATTTAGGCACACCAACAGAACGTATATGGCCTGGTGTATCACAATTACCCGGTATTAAAAAATGTGTTTTCACTGAATATCCATATAATCAATTAAGGCGAAGATTTACGGAAAAACAAATTTCAGATCAAGGTTTTGATTTATTAAATAGGTAGGTTAAGTTAGTTGGTTAGTTTGTTTGTTCACAGTACATATTGACACAGATGTTATGCCCCTAGTCTGGTACTATTATTCGCTTGTGCATACATACTTATGACTTCATTAAAGATTGAATTGAACAGCTTTAAAAGTTGAACCTGGCTGTAAATTTTTGCGATTTGAAACAATGATCATTCAGTCTCACTGGTGGCTGCGTTCGATTTGAAGTAAAGCTCACTACTTTAGTGAGCAATCGAAATAAATCTTCCCATGTATTTCCATATACATCATACTGAAGTGAATCTAGTTTATGCGACAGCGGTAATACGAAGTTATATATGGATTCGGTTAGATGAGTTTATGTTGGGGATATTAGATCCCCAAAACTCGCTTGATAAATAAATGCCTTATTTTCGGAATTCACGTTTGCCAGCATGGGTTTATCAGTTGACCTTGAGATTTCATTTCCCACCAGGAAAACCCATGGCTGTGTGATTGGCTGCTGTGTATTTTTTAGTGTGCTATTTTTGTGACTGTCCCAAGGGACGGTTCTATGATGTATAAATAAACGAGAGTTGTATGCTTGATACTATTGTATTGTGATTGCTGGATGTTTGTAGAAATATACTTTCTACGCTTACAAAGCTTATTATCTTCAGCTTTGGATTCATGGTAGCCTACCTGGACTCTGAATCATTGTCTCGTTCGAGTTTATCGACTAAGGTGAACTCTTAATAGCTTCAAGCGTACCTAGTGACGAACCTGATATGTTCGTCACTTAGTATGCTTGATGCTATTACGAGTTTACCTTAGTCGATAAACGCGAACGATACTTTTACCAGCTTCCAGGAAGGCTACCTTGAATCCAAACGGTAAAACAGAAGTCTTGGTAAGCGTAGAAAGTATATTCTACAAACACCCAGCAATCCAGTACAATCAAGCATACAACTCTCGTTTATTTATACAACATAACAACGTCCTTGAGACAGTTAAGAAAATAGCATACTAAAATACACTGTAGCCAATCACAGCCATTGATTTTCCTGGTGGGAATTGAAATCTCAAGGTCATTTGATCAGCCCCTGCTGGCGAACGTGAAAACCGAAATACGGCATTATCAAGCGAATTTTGGGGATCTAACATCCCCAACACTCCTCCCCTTTTTAATAGCGTGTTCTCCTGTGGTTGACTTGCATCTTGACTATTGTTCGCCGCTGTCTGAGGGGATACCTTCGGGAACGAAGAACAGCTTGCTGCTGAGTTTCTTCTCGTGGCGGGGCTCTCGGTAGGTTGAAGGTATCAAGCAAGATGTCAAGGGGAAGGCTTTCTGCTCTTGATGGGCGATCTGGGGCTAGCCGTCTGCGTATCTGATTGCGATGACGTGACCATTTATCACCTCCTACCTCTACTTCGTACATAACTCGACCAACCCTTCTGACCACTCTCGCTTCTACCCAAGGACCATGGTTCGTTCTGTAGTCGCGGGCAAACACAGGGCATCCTACCTCGTAAGCGGATTGTCTTTGCTGCTTTGTCTCTACTGATGAGGGTGCATTGTCGGATGCATCAGGCTGTGAATCGTTTTCAATCTTCTTCCCATCAGGATTTCAGCTGGGGACTTTTGCTCCGGTAACAATTCATTTGGTGTTGTCCGATAGACGTACAAGAAATTTTGTAACGTTTCGGCTGGCGTCCCCTCCCCTTTTGACTTGAGCAGTGCTCTTTTAAACGTATCCACAAACCTTTCCGCCTGCCCATTCGATTGCGGGTGGTATGGTGGCGAGCGTAAGTGTTTAATAGCTAGCCGTTGACAGAAATTCTGGAATTGGGAAGAGGTGAATTGAGAGCCATTGTCGGATACGATCACATCTGGTATGCCATTTCGTGAGAAAATTTCAGTTAGGAGCTGTATAGTCTTAGTTGTAGTGGGCGGCATAACGGGGCTGATTTCCGGCCATTTAGAAAAGGCGTCGACGACAATTAAATACATAGTTCCATTTATTGGGCCAGCGAAGTCGACATGTATCCTGGACCAAGGATGCTCAGGTTTGGGCCATGAAACCGGCGGAATTTTGGCATTCATCTTTGCCGCCTGCTGACACCGGATGCATTTTTCAACCAACGCTGTGACATGTTGATCCATGTGAGGCCAGTATGCATAACTTCTGGCTATGGACTTCATTCGTTTAATCCCAGGATGACCAAGATGGAACTGTTTCAGAACTTTTGCACGAAGGGATGCTGGCACCACTACTCTTTCACCAAACATCAGACAATCGTTGACGATGCATAGTGACTCCCGCCGCTGATACAGTTGCTTCATGTCACCTTCAAACTTTTTCGACGGCCAACCTTTAGTGACATATTTCATCGTCGTCTTGATGATGGGGTCGTTTCTAGAAGCATTTTGTATGTCTGTTGCAGACACCGGTAATGCGCGAACTGCGGTTGTCAGATCACATTCTGCGTGGTCTTCTACTGACAGAGATGCGATCACCATGTTTTCCTCAGCCGCCACTTGATCATTAATGAGTCGTGACAAAGCGTCTGCTTGACCGAATTGTAGAGTGCGTCGATATTGGATTTCGAAATCATACCCCAAAAGTACCAAGGCCCATCGCTGAAGACGATTTGCAGAATGGGCTGGAATGCCAGACTTTGAACCAAATATTGCTAACAGAGGCTTGTGATCTGTGAGGAGCGTGAATCTCCGACCGTACAGAAACTTATGGAAACGGCGAACAGCAAACACAAGGGCAAGAGCTTCTTTCTCTATCTGGCTATACTTCTTTTCTGCTGGGGTCAGTGTACGGGATGCATGCATAACGGCTTTTTCTGACGCGTCTGGAAACTGATGTGAAATAACAGCACCTAGGCCATATGCTGAAGCGTCTGCTGCTACGATGATCGGCATGGATGGATCGTAGTGTGTTAATAACAATTCCGAGCTAATTATAGACTTGAGTTTACCAAAAGCCGCGTCACACTCTTTATTCCAGTTCCATGTGCTATGCTTCTGCAGTAGACAATTCAATGGAGCGCGAATATCATGCATCGAGGGAACAAAAGCTGAATAATAACTGATCAAACCGAGAAAAGATCGTAATTCGGAAACATTAGTGGGAGTAGGCATCAGTTTGATAGCTCGGATGTTTTCAGGATCCGGTCTGCGACCGTCGGCATCAAAGATAAATCCCAAATACTTTACCGACTGCAATAGAAACTGGCATTTTTCTGGGCGTAACCGGAAACCATTGTCACTGATGCGTTGTAGTACCAATGTCGTGCGTTCCCGTAGCTGTTCTAACGTCTTCGCAACAATCAAGATATCATCGAGATAAGCTGCAACCCCTGGGATATCTGACAGGATTGTATCCATTAGTTGTTGGAAGATAGACGGCGCAGTCTTAACTCCAAAAGGTAGACGGTTATACTGAAACAAACCGCGATGAGTGTTGATAGTAAGCAGCTCTTTAGATGCTTCATCGACTTCCACTTGCAAATAAGCATCAGCTAGGTCAAGCTTTGCGAAGAACTTTCCCCCATTCAGCATAGTGAACAGATCTGCCGGGACTGGCAGAGGATAATGATGCTGTTCTAGAGCTGCGTTGAGACCTGTAGAGAAGTCAGCACATATACGTATCGTGCCGTTGGCCTTCTTGATAACGACTATAGGTGCTGCCCAACTGGAGTAAGAAACGGGAGTAATAACTCCTTGTCGTTGAAGGCGATCCAGCTCTTCATCTACTGTTGCTAATGTAGCATACGGTACAGGTCTCTTTGGACGAAAAGCAGGCTTAGCCCCATGTTTCAACCGAAGTGTTGCTTTCATAGCAGTGCACCGACCTAATCCAGGTTCAAAAATGGTTGAAAACTCTGTCATCAGCTTCTTCGTATACGCTTCTGGGTCATGTCGTTGTGATACCAGGTTGCATATGGTATTTAGCGGGACATCAGCCAATTTTAGCTGGTCGAACCAATCTAAACCAAGTAAATTTAGATCAGCTGGCGTTATATAGCATACCCCAGTAAACGACGAATCTCGGAAAGCAACTTTACATTCCAATTGTCCTAACAGACGAAGATAATTACCACACGCTGTGCGAGGCTTTTGTGTTGTGTGCTGCAGGCTTGGGCTGCCCAACTTGGTCCAATTTTTGCGTGAGAGGATAGTGACATCAGATGCAGTATCTATTTGCATTCTACACAAATAACCGTTAATATTAAGAGTAATAAATTTCCTCTCACCTGGTGATGAACTTTGGCAGGAAGATATTAGGCTCAATGCATTGGTACTGGATCTAGGAAGAGGCTTCTTAGCACTTCTGGATCGCTTTGGCTTTTTCTGTAGGCAAAAGCCATCTTTATGACCGATGACTTTACACTTCCTGCATCTATGCTGCCTAAATGGGCAGTTCCGTACATAGTGCCATGAACCGCAGTGCCAGCAAGCAGAAGGTGGATTCATTTTGGGTTTTTGGGCCGAATTGGAGCGGGGTGAACTGGGTGTAGCATGGGCAGACTTATAATGATTAGGTGGCTGCTGTACCAAATGAATTTCAGATCGGCTTGAGCTACCACTCTGAACTATAGTCGAGTCTCGTTGTAGGTCAGTGAGACGTTGGTACTCATGAGCCATATCATTAAGCGTAAGCTTTGGATCTTGCTCCAACCGACTTAGTAGCCTTGTTCTAATGTCACTGAACTTACTCGACTGGAGGCTGCAGATGAGAATGAGGGCTTTGAACTGGTCTTCCGACAAAGACTTCAACCGAAAGCGTTCGCATTCACGGTTGACGATGCCCACGTGCGTAAGAAAATCATCATCTTCGTTCATAATAAGCTTCAAACATCGATAACGAGTATTAAATAGTGACGAGTTGTCTCCAAAGTGTTGGCTTAAAGTCTGAACAGTCTCAGAAAACGAACAATCTCGTGGGTTCAAATTCATTTGTTTCATTAACAGCTCCAACATACGTTCCTGGAACTGTTCATATCGTTTACCTTGACGTTCCAGTAAAGATTCTAACTGTTCAAGGTTAATTGACATTGTGAATTGTGAGCCCCGTCGCCACTGATATGTTTTGTGGATATGGTTTTTACCCCGTCGCCACTGATATGTTCGTCACTTAGGATGCTTGATGCTATTACGAGTTTACCTTAGTCGATAAACGCGAACGATACTTTTACCAGCTTCCAGGAAGGCTACCTTGAATCCAACGGTAAAACAGAAGTCTTGGTAAGCGTAGAAAGTATATTCTACAAACACCCAGCAATCCAGTACAATCAAGCATACAACTCTCGTTTATTTATACAACATAACAACGTCCTTGAGACAGTTAAGAAAATAGCATACTAAAATACACAGCAGCCAATCACAGCCATTGATTTTCCTGGTGGGAATTGAAATCTCAAGGTCATTTGATCAGCCCCTGCTGGCGAACGTGAAAACCGAAATACGGCATTATCAAGCGAATTTTGGGGATCTAACATCCCCAACAGAACCCTACAGTTTATTCTATGCAATCGTTCATACAGACAGTCATAAGAATAGAAAGCTTAGAAGCGAAGCAAAGTGAAGTGGAGAAGGCGAATGAGCCTACTGAATGCATTAAGGCCATCAATTAGTAATTATTAGTCAGATAAAAATATGGGCCTATGATTGACAAGGTTGAAAGTCGTGTGAATAATAATATCTTTAGAAAGAGAAGGATAGAAGTGATGAGGAATTTTGAAGATTAGAATTTTGAGCGAGTAAAAAGTGTGGCTACATCGATGCCATCGCAAGCGATTTTGAGCCATGTTATTTAAAGTCTCTAAGCACCGTTTACTACTGTCCCGCGAACTCTAACTGAATAGTCTACACTTACTAACATGACTCAATCCACTTATCAGTGACTTCATGGATACAGAAAGCTCGATTGGCTTTTGCTAACCTGCATCACTTATGGCGTAGGCATTATATCCGTTCGCTAACCAAAGGACGGGTGTACTGCGCAGCAGTTCGCTCCGTTCTCCTATATGGCTGTGAACGATGGCCGTTAAGAGTAGAAGATGTTCGTAGGTTACTAGTATTCGATCATAGATGTTTAAGAAGCATTGCTCGTATATCATGGGACAACCGAGTAAGCAATCGTTAGGAAGGTAAGGATGGCAGATCAATAGATGAAGTAATGAAACTTCATCAGTTGAGGTGGTTGGGACATGTGTTACGTATGGCTAACCACCGACTGCCTCGACGAGCTGTTTTGTGGTGTGGGAGTAGGTTGGAAGAAAGCTAGGGGTGGCCAGACCAAAACATGACACAAATCCGTGGAGTGACTGACTAGTGGACTGAGTTAGTTGGTAGTTGTAGACTACCACCTGGTTGGGGTCAGCGAGACGAAAGTCACCAATGGTTTGAGACGTTTAACGACATGGCTCAAAATCGTTTGCAATGGCGCAAGTGCATCCATTCTTTGAGCTCTCTCAAATCCTAATCTTCTGGAATCGTCAGCACTTCTACCTTTGTCTTTCTAACCCTTTCTCACTGAATTATGCTTCTTGAATAATATCTTCAAACCCTAGTCTTCTTCATTACCATCAATACCTCTACTATCTCTACTATCTCTATCACTATGGGATTTGATTTGACATTTGCGTCTCTGTGTTAATAATGTGGTATGGCAACCTGAACTTATGTACATACGTACGAAGTTCTTACGTTGCAACTGACTGACTGACTTTATGGATTTTTGTCATGTTTTATTTTAGCCGCTCGCCCGCCCTGTTGCTCTCTTCTAGCTTATACCACCTACATTAGGCATTCAATAAATACAGTACAACACTGCAAGGTTAATTTGTAATTCGTTAACTTTTCAATCTGATTCTAATATCATTAAATATCAAAATACTACTAATTTCTCATTTATAGTATAGAAAAAAATTTTTCAAAAAAATTTTTTTTCTTATTTTTCTTTTTTACAAGTTTCCTTACATATTGTCCAGATAAACGAATTACTGCAGAAAAAGCACTTGTTCATCCTTATTTCAATGAACGTCCTCGTGCTATCCATCCATCAATGTTTCCAAGTTGGCCAGCTAAATCTGAAGGTGGTGTAGCTGTACGCAAGGCATCACCACGTGCACCAGCTGGTGGTGGTGCTTTAGCAGCTGCAGCGGCTGCTGTAGCTGCTGCTGCGGCCGCAGCCGCCGCCACCGCATCATCTCTAGTGACAACAAGTGCCGGTTGTCGTATGAAATATCAACCTCCAGCACCTCCAATGGGTGGTCAACGATTTTATAGTAGTATGTCTGATTCACGTCCAGGTACAGCAAATCAAGGATCAGGTGATGCGTTTACTACTAGTGGTGTAGATAAAGGATTTTTACTACGTTTTTAAAGAAACTATTTCATTATTCTCTCTCTCTCTCTCCCAGTTGCTTTGTACAGAAAAAAACATAATTTAAGATTCTTACTTTTGTGTGTATTGTAACTTGCTGCTGCCCCTGCTCTTCTTCTACGAAAATGTATATGTAATCTATACAATAAATTTGATTTTTACCAATGACTGTCTTTTTGTTTTCCCTTTCTATGAACGAAGTAGCAGTGTTCTGTTTGAATTGAATTGTATTGCAAATTATTATTATTCTGATAGAAATTGTGCTACAGTAAGTAACCTTTGTGTTTGTTGTATATATATATTACTTGAATGTTGTATCGAGTTGTATCGAGTTTTAAGTTGTGCATAGCCCAGATTACAGTGTACTACTTCGTTGTAAAATAATCATTACTCTGTGTATACAAAACGGTACACATGAAAACGATCTTATCAAAGCATTAGAAAGACACTTTATACTACGGATATATATGTAGGTTATTAGTATTTGATCATAGGTGTAGCTTTGTAGAAAATTACTGAGTAAACAGTACAGTACGCGCACACACACCCACACATTCAGAGTACTATATGTAGTTGGCAATTTGTTTGTTGGTGTGATAATTCTGCATCATCTTAGGTGATTAGGAATATATATTACGTGTGTGTATGCCTCTAACGGGTTACCCACCCTACGTCACTAGACAAGCCTTCGCCTGGAATCTTCAATTCCAAATGAAAGTGAGGAAGGACAATGGATATAGACATCAAGAAGAATGAAGAACAATCGGACAGAACTAGAAAAGAAGGGCCTAGGACAGAGAGAGTAGGTTGGCGAATGCTGCTCGACAGCCTATGTATGCTCCATTAAAGGTGACAAGCGTAACTTACTTACTTACTTACTTACGCCTGTTACCTCCAATGGAGCATAGGTCGCCTACCAGTTTTCTGCAACACACTCTGTCCTAGGCTTGTGATAAGCGTATTTAAGTAAGTAAGTGAGTATAATGTCTAACCGTCACCACCTACCCTTGACTGACAATGTAGGTAGTTGCAAACTGATCTGATTGCAGTGCACTACTACGATTCATAGCTGAATACACACTAGGTTTAGCATTCATATTATTTAGTAAAACAATTTACTTTAATATTGTCTCTATTTCTCTTGTTTTTTTTGCATGTCAATAGTTCATCAATTGAACCAATTGATCAATTATCCAATTACTACTATATATGGAAACTTAATTATTATTATATTTTACCCAATCAAAATGGCATATATTAATCATAGTAATAGTAATAGTAGTCGTAGTAGTAGTAATAATAATAATAATTCATCACATCCATCTTCATTATCATCACGATTATCATCAATTGCATCATTGAAACAACCAGTTCCTTTAACCGATGATGATGATGATGATGATGTTCATGATCGAGATGATGCAGTGAATGATAATTTTCGTTTTAGTTTTGATGAAATACGTCATGAATTAACTAATTTAGGTGTGACTAATTTAAATAATGAACAAATGATACGTTTAAAAACTGATTTAGATACATTAATAATGAAAGAGAGAAGTACACTGTTACAGCAACAACCACAACAATTAAAACAAACTATACAAAAATCTGACACTGGTAGTAGTAGTCGTAGTAGTGGTGCTGGTAGTGGTAGTAGTGGTAGTCATTCAATTTCATCGCATCGTCAACAAATTCACAGTGGTGACACGGATAATGATAGTAATAATCATCATAAATTAAAAAATTCAATTTCATTAAATAAAAAATTATTATTATTGCCTTCTGCATTGAAATCACATAAAAAAGTTTCAGCATCATCAACTTTGTCGTCGACTTCATCAACTTATTTATCTGTTACATCAGAAGATTATTTATCTTATTATGATGCAAGTCAAAATGATTGTGTCAGTGTTCATAATAATCATAATAATAATGATGATGATCGTTTAAAAAATTCCAATGATCAATTAATTCGAAATAATAATAATAATCATGAATTGAATAGAGGTGAATCAGTTGAAGTGAGTATTTGTTTTGTTAAATGAGAATTTAAAAAAAAATGTGGTTTATTCTTTATTTTTTTTAAAAAAAATCTCATTTTAAAAATGCCTTCATACGGTCGAAAGTGGAAATAGTTCTACTATCAGTCAGTCAGATGCAACGTAGAACTTCGTACGTAAGTACATCAGTTCATGTTGCCATACCACATCAGCACAGAGATATAATTGTCAATTCAAATCTAATAGTAGTAGAGGTAGTAAGGGAATTACAAGTAATCGGAGAGGTTAGGTTTATAAGATACTATTCAAGAAGTATGATTCAGTAAGATAAGTTTAGAGAGTCGAAACTAGAGGTGTTGAAGAATCCAGAAGATTAGGATTTGAGAGAAAACAAAGAATAAATGCACCGGCGCCATTGCGAACGATTTTGAGATATGTCATTCAAGGTCTCTAACCATCGATTATTATCATCTCGCGGACCCCAACCCGGTAGTTGACAATTACCGACATGGCTCAGTCCACTCGTCAATGACTTCATGGATTTCTGCCATGTTTTGGTCTGGCCGCCCCTAACTTTCTTCCAGTCTACTCCTACACTACAAAACAAAGTTCGTCGAGGCAGTCGGTGGTTTGGCATACGCAAGACATGTCCCAACCACCTCAACTGATGAAGTTTCACCACTTCATCTATTGATCTGCCATCCTTGCCTAGTACTCGTTTCCTAACGACAGCATTGCTTACTCGGTTGTCCCACGGTATACGAGCAATACTCTCACTATTTAATTGTGGCAAAGGTATTTTGTTCAAGAGATTGAGAGTTAGTTAGTTATTAAGCAACAATGTAGAATTTGGTACGTGTACGTACATCAGCGCAACGAAAGATGCAATTGTCAATTCAAATCCTAGAGTGAGTAGATGGGATTTAAATCGTTGATTTAAGGGATGGGAGGTTTAAGCCAGCTGATTAGCAGCTATAAAGGATCTATGTAGTGAAGTTAGTTGGTAAACCCTGATTCTAAACCAACAGTATACACATAGGCTCCACATCTATCTGTTAGGATATTCATCCAATATCCTAAGAGAATTATTGGTAAAATTTATGGTCGTTTTAACTGTCAAAGTCAAATACTTCAATGTTGTTTCTTATTGGTCATCCGGACTGTCAATGTCATTTCAAATGTTACTTCCTATTGGTCGTCTTAACTGTGAATGCCACAGAATTCGATGCTGTTTTTTTTTCGACCAAAATGTATAAATACGCATTATTTGTAACATTGTATGACCAGGACCAGGACTCGGTCCCGAATCCCTAGTCTGGGATCCTGATTCTATTCTGGATTCGGACCTCGTACTTTCTACTTCATATCAAGTCTTCTTATTTTTACTAAATATGGGGGTTCGGATAATCGGATTTGAGTAGCATGTCGTGTCGCCGGATCCTCAATCATCGCTCTCGTTTTCCGACTAGGTAAACACTCGTAATAGTTCAAGTATATCAAGTTGACGTGTTTACGTGCAGGCGTAATACTATTATCCATTGAGGGAGGCATAGGTCATCAACAAGGTTTCCTTCAAACACCTCTGTCTTTAGTTATCTTTTCCAATTGTTCTCCTAAGTACCATTCATTCTTACAATGTCTGTCTTCAATTGTCGTCGGTTCTTTCTTTACACATTTGAAATCATCAGTTTCGTCCTGGTATGGGACTCGTCAGCAGTGCGCATCCACGACTCCTGCACCCCGCAGGATTCGAACCCGGGACCTTCGGTATTGTGCGCGATCACCTAACCATCGGACCACTAGGCCGGCATCCAACGGTGTTAATGTGTAACTCTGATTGATCTAGGGATTTTGCGCGACCTCACCCATTTGTCTTCGGTGGGTAGTTACTGTCTACACCCGACAGGGTTGAACTCTATTGGTCACGTCTTCTTAACTAGAACTCCGAGAACTTCCTCACGAAGCTAGTCACTAGTGAGCACTTACGATATTTTTCAGGCAGAGTTTTGGAGGTTTTTGTGTTTTTTACACATTTGAAGAAATCATCAATCAATCATTGTTCAACCAGAAAGATTTCAATCTTGTGCCAACCTTGTAATACAGTTTCTTCATTTTGTATTCTATCCACACCTCTAGTACTTTTTTTTCGTAAAAATAAGCTTAAATTAATCACACACACATCGAGACACACGCACACATTTGTTATCACTGTCAGTCTCTAAACAATCATGGTCAAGTGAGATTTTTAATCGGATAAATCGATCGAATATAGACTACTAGCTTTCAGGTGATCAATGTATATACATGTATTTATATATATATACCTTGTCAGTCAGTTAGTTAGTTTCAAATAAGTCAGGCAGGATTAAAAGAGATTGCAGTTTTAGAAAGAAATAAAGAGAAAAAACGAAGCAAATCTATGTGAATTTTTCAATATGAGATTATTACCAATTCTCTCACTCACCATATACAACACATTGGTTTCAATTGGAGGTATATGTTTGTGAAACATATTCGTGGCATTAGTATCATATGTAAAATTGTCATGGTAGGCATGTTGTTATCAATTATTCTATTGTTTTGTATGAATTTCATTGCGTTGCATTTCGTTGTGTTACTTTTTGTCATGTATGTGTGTGTTATTCTGGTGCTCACTAGTGACTAGCTTCGTGAGGAATCTTCTCTCCGAATTCTAGTGAGAAGACGTGACCAGTGAAGTTCAACCTGTTCGGGTGTAGACAGTCGCAACTACCGAAGACTGTGTATGAGGTTGCGCAACTCCGTGAATTTGATCAAGTTAGACATTAACATCGTTGGATACCGGCTCAGTGGTCTAACGGTTAGGGCGTTCGCGCTCAATTATTTATGTAAATGCATCAATATTGCATTAAACAGGGTACTCAAATGTGTATGAGCCATACAAGTTGTTGATTTTATGTGTGTGATGTTGAGCTAAGATACTACTATCTGGCTGTTCAAGCCGGAGTAGATGATTTCCGTAGAGGGGCTACTCCCTGAGCCTTTGATTATAACAAGTCTAATCTTGTAAAGGAGTAGAGCAGCACAAAGAAAGGCAATGCCATAGTAGCTAGTGGCCAATAGTAGGTACCGACGCCGATTGTTCCTTCAGCATTAACTTGGTTTAGATCCACACTGGACGGTAGTTGTCGACTACCTGGTTGGGGTCCGCGAGATGATGGTGATAATCGATGCTTAGAGACCCTGAATGACATGGCTCAAAACCGTTTGCAATGGCGCGGGTGCATTTATTCTTTGTGTTCTTTCAAATCCTAATCTTCTGGACACTTCAACACTTCTATTTTTGTCTTTCTAAACTTTATCTCACTGAATCATACTTCTTGAATAATATCTTCTAATCGTAACCTCTCCGATTACTTCTATTACCTTTACTACTTATACTACTATTGGGTTTGAATTGACAATTACATCTGTGTGTGCTGATGCGGTACGGCAACATGAACTGATGTACTTACATACGAAGTTCTACGTTGCAACTGACTGTCACCCTAAATACTTAGAAATTATATTTAAATGTATGAATATGTATACTCATAGGAGAGATCTACCAGTGACCAGTGATCCGTGAGATAAGATGAAGTGTGACATTTTTAGGGTTCAGCTTCTCTAACCCCTTCTTTCTTTGTGAGAATGCAGTATCGTTGCAGATACTAGTTGTCCGAGGTAAATACCTTACTGCCGTTACATCCAGTACGACTTCGCCCTCAGACCTTAAGTTACTGGTTCTAATCTTATCGTTTTCCAGTCGAGCTGCCTGATATAGTCGAACCTACAGAAACATATGTTTCAGCCAATATAGTTCGGCTGGGTCATCAGGGTAGGCAAACCCGACCATCAGAGGAGGAATCTATGTGTTTATTACTTTCTGTGATGTCTAGGAAGATACTTTTTAACATAGCATTTGTAAAATTCGCTATTAAGCTTTTATTCAAAATACATTCACTGAGCTATTTATTTCAATTGTTCACATTTTTTCCACCGGTTAACTATAAAATTGAATTAACATGCTCTTATGATATATTGATAAATGAATGAAGATGGGAATCCGAGGGAATAAGATGAAGTTCGACATTTTTGTGGTTAACGTTTTTTAATCTTTTCCTTTTATTGTGAGAAGAAGGTAGCATCGCGTCTGATGTTAGTTGTCCGATGGAAGCACGTTACTTGCTTGCTGTTCCACCGTTCTAAGGTCAACCGCGCCCCCGAACTTAAGTTGCTACTTTTAGTCTTTGCCTTTTCTCAACCGATCTTCCTGGCATGATTGGGACCTAAAGCAACACATGTGGTCTAGTCAATATGCCTCTGTTAGGGGGACATAGATGAATTAAAGCATGACTACGTTGCCACGCGCTGATTGGCTAATTTCCTATCCAATCAGCGCCTGATCGATTCTTGGAGAACAGGATAGAAAATTCTCGTATTGTTAGCTGCATGCTGATTGGTTAAATCTAATCCAGTCGATCACGTGAATTTCTATCCAGAAGCTTCTCATGTAAATGCTATAAATAAACTAACGTTGTATCTATTTTTGCCTTCTTTACCTTCGCCATCACCCCTTGGCTTCTTATTTCCACTTAACCTTGCTATTTGGAATATAATCTTTTTCCTGTTCAACCGTGTTTTTGATTCTTTGGAACTTGTCCAGTGTATTGTGTGGTCAGAGAATACTAAGCAATAGGATTTAGTTGGGAATTATTTAAGCAAGCGTTACAACAGCCTCAGTTGAGTCATCACGATAGGCAAGCTCAATCATCACGTCAAGAGAAGAACAGCTACGGTTGACTTGATGCATTTACTTACTTGCCAACTTCTACTTTATAACACTGATTGACCTAGTACAGATTTATTGTTTCTTATTTGTCTGTAATTTTTTTCTCTCTATTCACAAAACAGTGTAAATCATCAATAACAGATAATTATTCATTAAGTCAAGATATTAAAGAGAAATACAATGATAGTTTTATATCGGATGATGTTACACAAGTATCATCAGATGAGAAACAACACCGTTCATTGAATAAACATAATAAAAATGAAGAAGGTAGTGAACAAATCACACTGGATTTATCACCAATTAATAGAGAAATAAAAAATCTTGACACAGCAAAAATTCTATCTTCAACGTCATCTTTAACAACTTCATCAACACCAACCACTACAGCTACACTACTGTTATTGAATGGAACTGAGAAGATACATACAATTACTGATCAAAATAACAGTCAATGTCAACAATCAACAGATTCTCCATCTGAAGCGAATGAATTATCACTAACACCGATTACACAAAAACTGTCATCTTCATCATCATCATCATCAGCATCGTCAAATAGAACAATGACAGCACGAACTAACACCACTCCGACGACAACAACAAGAACCTCGTCATCATCAGCGTCATCAGCATCATCGACTGACAAAAACTCTCGTCGTCATCTCGAGTCGATTTCTAAAGATTCTTCTGCTGCTGCCTCTTCTCCTTCTTATCGATCGAAAAAATCGTCGGCAAGTTTTCATCATCAATCACAACATTCGAATGATTATACTAGTGCAGCGGCCGATCAACATTCCTATGATGATGATGATGATGTTACTGGTGGTGGTGGTGTTGGTCAGGCGAATCGAGTTGAATTGCGCGCTGATGAAAATGATGAACCAACTATTGTTGATCATGATGAAATTAATTACCCGGTGACAGTGAACGTTGATGAACATGATTCTTCGCATAGTAATAATTTATCAATATCATTGAATAATAATGAGCTAGAGAAAACATCATTAAATTTAAATGAACTGAATGATACTACTGATTATCAACAGAGAAAATGTTCTACTCTTACTACTGCTACTACTACTAACACAACGAATTCACCAAGGAGATCAGCTCGATTTTTAGATGATCCTGTAGAACAAGTTCATAGTTTACTAAGAGAACCACATCATCAACAATCAACACAACAGAAGCAAGACCATGGACGACACCATCAGAAACACCATCAACGAAGATCGAAATATACACAACAAAAACGTATTCATTCCGCTAGTTCTCATCATTATAAACATGGTCATTCGATGAGTGCTCAAAAATTACAAGTATGTGTGTGTGTCATTCTCTATAGAATATAATTTGATATATATATATATATATATATATATATATATATACATATATATATGATTGGTGTTTGAATGATAATTATTTTCGTGCATTTAGTTGGTTGGTGCTAAGCCTATAGACAGACAGACAGACAGATACAACGCAGAACTTCGTACAGAGACGCAACTGTCAGTTCAAATCCAAGAGTGAGATTGATGGTAGAAATATTAGCAGTTACGGAGAAGATTAGGAAGCGAAGATAGGATTCAAGAAGTATAATTCAGTGAGATAAATTTAGAAAGAGAAAGATAGAGATTATGAGGAATTCAGAAGGTTAGAATTAGAGAGAACACAAAGAGTAAATGCACCTGCGCCATTGCAAACGATTCCGAGTTAAGTCGTTCAAAGTCTCTAACCATTGGTGACTTTCGTCTAGCGTACCCCAACCAGGTAGCCTACATCTACCAACATGACTCAGTTCACTTGTCAGTGACTTCATGGATTTGTGCCATGTTTTGGTTTGGGCACTCCAGTCTACTCCTACACTACAAAACATAGGTCGTCGCGGCAGTCGGTGGTTGCGCCTTCGTAACACATGTCCCAACCACCTCAACTGATCAAGTTTCGCTACTTCGTCTATTGATTTGTCATCCCTTCCTAGAACTCGTTTCCTAACGACAGCATTGCTTATTCGGTTGTCCCAGGATACACGAGCAATGCTTTGGAGACATTGATGGTCGAAGACTAGTAACCTACGAATGTCCTCTACTCTTAACGGCTATGTTTCGCACGCATATGGTAAGACGGAGCGAACTGCTGCGCATTACACTCGTCCTTTGGTTAACAAGCGGATATCTCGCTTGCGCCTTAAGTGACGCAGGTTGGCAAAAGCCATTCGACCCTTCTGTATCCGATCTGAGATTTCGTCAGTCACCAGGCCATCAGCAGTGATGAGACTCCCGAGATAAGTGAAGCGGTCTACACGTTCGACTGCTTCACTCCCTATTACTAGTTCAGGTGCCGATGCAACCCAATCTTAAAGCAACATTTTCAAAATGTTATGTTTTGTACACTGATCAATGCATATATGTACACACTCGCACACAGACATGACTTTTGAGTAACCAGTGATCGAAACAAGGAAAAGAGTTTATTATTATTATTGTGTTCTGTGTTGAAACACACGTTAACCATGATACAAAGGTGCACCATAAAAATTAATGAATTGATTGACAGTTGACTGGGATATTATTGCCCGATTGCTGCAAATACAGAAGCAAATAGTTCTCCTTAGGATTTCCACTCTTCGAGTCTTTCATCAACCGATGTAATCCGCAAGGCAGTGGAACAACGTTATGAGATGCATGCAGTCTCATGGTAACCAATCATCAACAATATGCTCGTTCATGTACCGCTTATTCCTTCAGAATCGTAAAGTCTGTGTACATCATTGGTGTGGAATGAGGGATTTCCAACTGTTCTAGATGGGTCGTTGATACCTATTTACCCGGTTTTCCATTTCTTACATTTTTGTTTAACTTTGTCATTGGCGTGCTTTTAAATACAACAATTTCATCATCTGACTTTTCAGGAGTTGACTCTTTACCAGGAGACTTACTTGATGCCGATGACATAGTTCTATTTGGCGAAGACTCTGACAGAATGCAGAGTTAAGCAACAATGCAAGCATGTTCAGGATGCGATTCTCCTCCTCAAAATGCAGAATATTGGTTCAGGATCGGCTTGCGTCGGCACCTAAACTAGTGATAGGGAGTGAAGTAGTTGATCGTGTCTACCGCTTCACTTATCTTGGGATTCTCATCCGTGCTGATTACATGGTGACTGACGAAATCTTAGCACGTATACAGAAAGCTCGATCGGCTTTTGCCAACTTGCGTTATCTATTGTGAAGGCGAGATACCCGTTTGCTGACTAAAGGACGAGTGTACTGTGAAGTGGTTTGCTCCGTCTTACTTTATGGCTGTGGAACATGGCCAGTGAGAGTAGAAGATATTGTTAGGTTACTAGTATTCGATCATAGGTGTCTCCGAAGCATTGCTCGTATATCCTGAGACAGCCGAGTAAGCAATGCTGCCATTAGGAAGCGAGTACTAAATAAGGATGGCAGATCAATTGATGAAGTATTGAAACTTCATCAGTTGAAGTAGTTGGGACATGTGTTACGAAGGCAATGTTTTGTAGTGGAGGAGTAGGTTGAAAGAAAGTTAGGGGCGGCCAGACCAAAACATGGCACTAACCCATGAAGTCACTAACAAGTGGACTCAGCCGTTTTGGTAGTTGTAGACTACCTGGTTGGGGTCCGCGAAATGTTAGTAATCGATGGTTAGATACCCTGAATGGCATGGCTCAAAAGCGTTTACAATGGCACCGGTGCATCCACTCTTTGTGGTCTCTCAAATTATAATCTTCTTGAATAATGTCTTAGGACTCGGGTCTTCTGCATTGCCGCTAATACTTGTACTACGTTTGCCATTACGGGATTTGAATTGACACTTGCATCTGTATGATAATTTCGGTATTGGAACTTGAACTCTAATGTACTGCCGTACCGAAGTTCTATTTCGTAGCTAACTGACTGACTGACTGACATTTATTATCCAAAAATGATCGAAGTATCATCCACGTATTGTTTTTCTCTTGTTCTATGCAGTTGATAGTTATATTCACTGTTCAATAATGAAGGTGAACTATTTCAAAATTAAGCACGTGTGTCTGTACTGACTATCTTGTATTAAAACTTATAGGTCGCGTTACTCAGTGGTCCAGAGCGTTAAGCGTTTACGCGCGCACAAGATCGGAAGGTTCGGGTGGTTCGAATCCTGTGCGAGTAGTAGAATTTGTGTAGATGCACACTGCTAATGAGCTAGTCCCATGTTAAGACGAAACGGCCGTCCAGTGAACTTCCAAGTTTATTTAATAGACGGTTTAACATTGTGCGACTCGCTTGGGGACGTTAGATCCCCAGAGCTCACTTGACAAAGGTCTTAATTTCGAATTTTATGTTTTCAAGCATGGACTGACCAGTTGGCCCCGGAAAATCCTTGACAGTTTTTTTGGTTGATGTCTCATTTTAGTGCGTTGTTTTCGTTGCTCCCCCGAAGGATGTTTCCATCATGTAAACTCGATTTTTGTGCTTGTAGACCTCATATGTTCTGGATGCTTGTAGAATACACTTTCTACATCTTGTCAAGACTTCTTCATCTATACTTAGTTGGGATTTGGATCGCCACCCGGATTAGAGTGGTAGCCTATCGTGTACACTGGATCATTTGTCTTCGCTGTCGTTTACCACCCAGTAAGGCGAACTGGTAATAATAGTTTCAAGCATATCATATTTCACGATTTCAAAATGAGTGGTAGGTGGTAACTCAACAACTCAACCACAATTGTTCCGTACACACTGTTAGTTTTTGTTATCTTAGCACCCCCCCTTCCTTCTCATATGTGTTAATGCATATTTTCATTTATTCTGTAGCGACCAATTTCTGGTGGTACACATAGACGACAAGATCCAGTTGCAAGATATCATACATATCAACGTATATGGTCAGTTCGTTCTGCAGCATGTGAAAATGCTCGACGTCTTCTACGTTGGAATATTAGAACAGCAATGATGCATAAAGAAATTCCTGTGTTACAACGTAATTCTGCTGAAGTAATTCGTCTGTTAGGTCCATATGCATCAACTTATTTGGAACATGAAAGACAGAAACGAATTAAATCTTTACAAGTAATTATCTATATATACTATCATAATATATTAGCTGACTATTTGATATTTCATTTTATTCACAATAGAAGGATAATGTAAACACTAGTGACTAGCTTCATGAAGAAATTCTTGAGTGTCTAGTGAGAAGAAGAAGAAGCTATGACTGGTATAGTTCGACTATGTCAGTTGTAGGTAGTTACTTACCAAAAACAAATTTTGGTGAGGTTGAGCAAAATCTCGAAAGTCCTGGGTTTGAATCCTGCGTGAGTAGCAAGAGTTGTGTAGATGCGCATTGCTAATGAGCTAGTCCTCATACCGGAACGAAACACTTGTTCCTTCTCGAGACACCGTCTTATCGTCGCGCATAGATAGCCTCTGACCGAAAGGTCCTACTCACAGCCTCGTAGTACTGGTGTTGTTCACGAAATGGAGAGAATGAAAAGTTTGTATCCGGCATGGATGGTATTGAGGATCCACTTAGAATAATTGAAAAAACCTCATTCCAAACCATTGTCAGTTACAACGTAGAACAATTTCGTTCATATGTACATCAATTCAGGTTGCCATACCACATTAGCTCAGAGATGCAACTATCAATTCAAATCCCATAATGGCAGAGATAGTAGACAAATTACTGGTAATGGAGAAGATTAGGATTTGAAGATAGTATTCAAGATGTATGATTCAGTGAAATAAATTTTCAGAGATAACAAAAGGTCTTGAGCTCATGGAATTGTGCGAGAACACAAATAATAAACGCACCTGTGCCATTGTAAACGATTTCGAGTCATGTCATTCAAGGTCTCTAACCATCGGTTGCTATCTTCTCGCGAGCTCTACAATGGTGGTAGAAGATTCGGAGGACCTGTTGCTTTTGTTTGTAGCAGTCCAGGCTATAATATCTCAGTCCACTCATAATTTCACTCTTATGTATGATGCATTAATAATTAGATGCCCCTTTATATCAATGTTTATATGTTTAGATCTATAAAAGCTTTCATGTGAATCGTTTTGGTGAGAGTATAGTGCTCGCACTGATTGATTGATAGTACCTTTGTACATTCTTTATTCATCCTGTCTCCTTAATTTGAATCGCCCATTTGTATTCGCAAAGTTCGTTCCGACTTGAATATATATATATATATAGATGCACTCCTGATTAATTAGAGTGGCAAATAATGACGAACCTAGAAGCACTGGATAGCCTCTGTTTTATCTTTAGTATGCGATTCATCGGCAATGCACTGCACTACACTGTACTGTACATCCACGACACCACTACAAAAGCTGGAGTATTTCCCCGTTTTATATTTTTTTTGCTTATAGTCAGTTCCATGAAACTCCTCAACACACTGTCCACAACACTCCCCTTACTGACTACCGTGATCTCTACTATTTTTCTCTCTCCTTTTTTCTTGTACAGCTTGATTATATACCACCAACTAGTAGACGTCATAGTGATCTACGTCAAAGTATTCGATCATTAATGTCCAATCCTAGTTGACAGTTGTTGTTGCTGTTGTTGTTGATGTCATACTTACCGCTTATGAAAATCGATATTCATTTTTTCATGCTTATTTTGATTGTAATCTAAGTTGAATTTACAGCATTCCCCAACTTTTTTGAAAAAAAAAATGCATTTGTATAATTAATTTCACGACATAGAAAAACATACTTATAATTAATATTCATTCTTTTAATTGATTTCAATTTTTCTGCTCAATTTAACCGATTAAAAACAACGATGAATATAATATGTATGCATCTCTCTCTAGATGTGCATTTATCTATTTTTTTCTCCGTGCCGGTGTTACGTACTACTGATTTTATTGAATAAGTAGTATAATACTAATTCACACAATTTTTCTCGTGTACACCTCTATTCACAATCAATCTATCGATCGATCGATCTATTCAGGCTTCCAAAGCATTTCAGTATTGTTTGTTTGTTAGTTTGTTTTTGCATTTGGTCATATTTATTGATTTTTTTGATTTGTGTTTGATTTTATTTTCTTCCCTTTGTTTTAAACGATTTTGATTTGTTTTTTTTATTTGATAGTTTGCGTTTTTTTTTTCGATAAAAAAATATTATTTTTGAAAAATAAAATAACTGTTTATATGCATATATATACATGTCATCTATCTATCTATCTACATATATGATATGCGCATGATTTGATCAAAGCGCAGACGAAGAAGATGACATTGTGTGACGGTAGGTTTATTATTAATATTATTATTGTTGTTTGACTGGTGGTGATGATGGTGACGTACTTTTCTTTCTCTCTTCTGTGTACTTCTCCTTCCAACTATTGTTGTTGTTCATGTAGTTGTTGTTCGTGTTACTACTCTGTTATTGTTGTTTTAATCATTGAACTTAGTTAGTTATGAGTTCAATTTTACAAATAAAACAACCATATGAATTGTTTGAAATATTTGTCAATATATTTTTGTTATTATTATTATTATTATTTTAATAACACTCATTGTTGACGGTGATGATGATGACGATGTTGTGTTTTATTTTCTGTGTAGGTTTTTCTGTTGTTATTTCCAACAGTTTGTTCTCTTTCTGTGTGTGTGTGTGTGCGTATGCGTGTGTTTGTGTATATTACATGATAAAGGTTTTTTTTTAGAGTCTGAGATTTACATTTCTGACTTAAGCCCATAGTTGTTACATTTAATTTGTATCTGTTAGACGTATATATATATATATATATATATATATATATATATATATTATATGTAATAAGATACATCGTGATGACGCAATCGAAATCTGTTGAGTGGAACACGTGTTTCAGGAGTGAGAGAGAGAGAGAGCGATGAAACTTAAAAGCCAGTCAACTCGTATTTTAACAAGGAAATGTCATTGTTCCTAAGTTGAAATAGTTCTGCCGTCAAATATACATAAATTCACGTCCGCAATTTTTGAAGTCTACATTTGAGCGAACCTCATTGTCAGTTCTTTACAACACTTACGTTAGTACAGAGACGCAATTGTCCATTCAAATCCCGTAGTAGTACAGATGGTAGAAGTATTAGAATTCAAGAGGTATAATTCAGTGAAATATATTTAAAAGAGAAAGGTAATGAGGAATCCAGATTACAATTTCAGAGAACATAAAGAATGCAAACGATTTTGAGCCATGTCTTTCAAGCTGTCTATCCATCGTTTACTATCGTCTCGCGGACCTCAACCAGGTGGTCTACATTTAACCACCAACATGACTCCTCGGTCCACTAGTTAGTGACTTCATGAATTTGTGTTGTTTCGGTTTTGAGGTTGAAAACCAGGTAGATATAAATAATTATTAGGTTTCCAATTAGCTGTTCTCAAAAAAGTACACTATTTTAACGTTACATGGAATTGAATTCAGTACCTCCAGGCCTTTTACTATGCATAATGATTTCAAACCATCCTTAATGATCACAATACTGTGAAACAATTATTGACAGTCAGTTTATTGATGTAATAAACGTTGTTTGTCCACTGCATATTCGTCACAAATGAAAGAAAAGTGAGAAAAGAAAGAGCACGAGTATATCAGAAAATATCTATTGGTGACAGCTACAAGTTGCCTTTTCTTTCGACAAAGAGAAGTGGGAATTCATTGATGCGATTTGTGTCGGTTCGGAAGCACTGTATGTCGTGCTTGCTACTGTTAAATACTAATATATTTATGGTGTGTAGTGAAGGAGAACGCAGGTGAGGGCAACCGAATTGTATTTAACGGAAATTACAGAGTTACTCAGTAAAATAGGAAAACCATATCGTAAACGGTTACTTTGCAAATCTTCAATCCATTGTTTGACATTTCACTATTCATGCGTTTTATACAAATTTCATTGTGTTCCCACTCTTCTTCCTTTCTTGATCTTCCCTCATCTTCTGCTACCAAACATTACGTTGACACTCACGTCTTATACTACTCATAAGTAGCGCGCACCACAGGTGTACTTTTTACATTCGTAATAGTGATGAAATTCCATTCCTGAACACTTCTGAATAAGTCATTCTAGTTTAGCGTTTATGGCTTCTTTATGTGTGTTATTCGATAAAGACAACAAAAGCGGAAGATTATGTATGATATTTGACGCTTAGGTGAAGATGCAGACTGAATTCTATCACGCTACAATGTGATTTGATCTCGTGTCGTGCGCTGCCTCTATCGATTGCATGACCATATATAATTAGGCAAGAGTTTTTACCATTGCTTAAATTAATCATAACCTCAAGTTTCATTCTTAATCAATGAATAGGCTGCATCATATCTGAAAATCGATAACATTCACAACTTCCTCGTTGTTTTTTATTCGAAAAAAATTATCCTACTCACTATATATTTAAGTAGTCTCCGTCGGATGTGGAATTTTTTTTTCTTAGAAGTCAAATATTAAGCAATAAAATAAAAATAGTCTTTTATTTCATATGAATTCAGAGCATAATATAAAATGTAATAAATGTAAAAAGCCAAAAAATAAAATGGGAAAAGTTTAAACATGCATTCATTCATTCAATTCATAAATTTCTCTTTATGTCAGTTAGTTGAATCATGATGAAAAAAAACGAGGCAATAATAATGTACATGATAAGAAAATATGAATTTTTATGTAGATAGATATGAGTTGATTTAAATTTTAATTTTCTTTTTCATTAAAAACAAGTATAAAATAACAAATCCGGTATTAATCCTCTATCGACATTACCATTCTCTAAACCATCCCAACTATCATGAAAATTGAATACAACTGTTTCATTATTACCTCCTGTTAAATAAACATGATTATCATTGAAATTATTATTAGTTATAAAACTTAGTTTATGTGTATCAGTTGTACGTTTCTTTCTAATATTACTGGATGATGAACATTTCTTATTGGTGTTATTGACATTGGTTGTTGTTTCATTGTCTTGTCTTGTTCTCAGTGTTTCTTCTGATGGACAATGAATCATAATTTCGGTGCCACCATAAAAACCAATATATGATGTTGATGAATTGATAGCTGTAGATGATGTTGACATTGAAACTGGTTTATTATGATCACCATTGGAAGTGTTTAAACTTAAATAGTATCTTCGATTTTTCACTAACTGTGTTGTTGGTGTAGAGATGATGATGATGATTATTTGTGTGTGTTTTTGTTTGATTGAGACCGAGAGAAGAACAAAAGAAAAGTAAAAGAGAAACGATTATTGATGCATGCTAGTCAGGAACTGCGTTTTGTTTAAAGAAATCCACCTGGAGCCCCTCTGAGGGGCTACTGCCGGCTGCAAGCCCTGGATAAAGGTGGAGCTATTGGTGACCTCATTCCATTAAAACCTAACTCGCTAAAAAATACGCTAACCAGATGATTGTTGATCAGAAAAATGATTATTCAAACATTCGGCTAGGGACTGCGTTGTTTTTTTAAAGAACTCCACCTAGAGCCCCTTTGTGGGGCTACTGCAGGTCGGAAGCCCAGGTAAAGGGTAAGGCATGGGGTTTGGCGACCCGATCCCGTAGAAATCTAACTCGCTAAAAAAACGTCAAGCGGGTGTTTTTCGACCCAGAAAATGGCAAAGAAAAATGATTATTGAAACGTTCGGTCAGGAAATGCGTTGTTCAATAGTCGTTTTTTTAACGAACTCCGCCTGGAGCCCCTCTGTGTGACTACTGCCAGTTGCTAGCCGTGGATAAAGGAGAAGGGTAAGTGTCGATCCAAATATATGAAAAAGAAAAATGATTATTCAAAAATTCCGGTCAGGATTTTTGTTGATCAGCAGTTATGAATTTCATTGAAATGACCAACTGATCTAAATGTTAAGTAATTACTACTGCCAGTCGTAAGCCCCGGATAAAAGGGGAGGTATTGGTGACCTCATCCCGTAGAAATCTAACTCGCTAAAAAATACGCTAACCAGATGATTTTTAATCAAAAAAACATGACAGAAAAATCATTATTGAAACATTCGGTCAGGTACTGCGTTGTTCAATGAAGAACTGCACCTGGAGCCCCGCTGTGGGGCTACTACCGGTCACGAGCCTGTATAATTAAGGAGGAGGGTTGGGCATGGGGGGCTTGACGACCTTATCTAACGCTAACCAGATGATTTTCGACCCAAAAAAAAGACAAAGAAAAATGAGAATTCAAACATTCCGGTCAGGTTTTTTGTGTTGTTCAGTAGTTTTTCGTTTTTCTTCTAAAGATTATGCGTTTCATTGAATTGACCAACTAATCTAAGTGTTGGAATAACACTATCATTCAAAGCAGTAGTAAATAATTGTTTTGTCTGTGTACTACTATATGAGAAATTTCCTAGCACTGTGAGTTTATTACCTCGTGACCGGGTAATTGAAATGACGATCTCCAATATATTTATTTTGACCTGCAAATGCTTATTAACCCTCTTCAAACACTTCACTGATCTACAATATTGTGTAATTGTATTAAGCGATCTAAACATCGAGTTGGTCACCTATCCATAGTTTAGAGTATCTATTTTCATAACTGACAAAATCTTAACTATTTTCCGTGTGTTACATTAAAACAAATAAGTCATTGAGACTTAATCGCTACAGGCATGCAGATATTTAGTCACGTGAAATGATGTAATGAGTAGCCAATGATGATCAGTTTACTAAATAATTAAAATTGTCATTGATTTACAAACTATGTGAATCAATAATTTCCACTATTTCTGAAATATAACTTACTTGAATAATATCTCAAATGAATCGATATGTTAAAATAAGGCATAGAAAGCGCATTATTTTTTTTTACAAATTTCGTACGTATGTACATCAGTTCAGGTTGGCCACCACATTAACCCAGAGACACAACTGTCAGTTTTAATCCATTTTCAGGTTAAACTGTCAGTTGAAAGTGAATCCAGAAGTTTTACAGCTTGGTTTTGGTATGTCAAGTGGTCAGTTACTTTATCAAATTACTCGGGCTAATGTAGTTGAGTTAAAGTTCGAACCTGTAATCCACTGATATGAAATCACATTTAAAATCATCAATCAATCAATCATTGTTAGACCATCACTAGTAACCTGGAAGGTCTGGACGGCTGTTTCGTCCTGGTATGGGACTCATCAGTGGCAGTGCGCATCCACGACTCCTGCACCTCATTGGATTCGAACCCGGGACCTTCGGTATTGTGCGCGAATGCCTAACCATCGAACCACTGGACCTGCATCCGACGGTGTTAATGTCTAACTCCGATTGATCTAAGGGTTTTGCGCGAAATGAAATCGATTGATTCACTAGCTAAAGCTAATTTCTCTACAACGAACGACATCACGGGTGAGTTTCTGTTCGACACCACTACTCACAGTGAAAATCAATTGAGATTCTACAAATAGAAATGAAACACTACTCAGTAATAATTGTAATCTATAGAAAAAAAAAAAGATGTTCTATATATACCTTGACAGGACATTCAAATCGTATATCATAAACACGATTTGTTCCATCTGATTGTAATAGAATTTTTTTACTAGCGAGACATTTAGTTGAACGTTTTTTATTAGAAAGATGATTTGATGATGATTGAAATAGAATATTCGATGGTGAATCAGTTTCATCTAATCTTGATAAACCAGTTGAAATATCCCAATTATTTGAATAACCTACACGATTATTATTACTATTATTGGTAGTATTAGTAGTATTATTGTTATGATTAAATAAACGAGTGGATGCATTCAAACTAGTTAGATCACTTGTACTTCTTGAAGCATGTGAAAAATACATTCTATCGGACATGTAAGTACCACGTGGTGGTTGTGGTGGTGGCGGTGGTGATGTTATATGAACTGGTGAATGTAACGGTACACTTCCATTGCCTGATCTTAATTCCAATTGAACTGTACGTGTATCACCAACTTGTGTTGAACCATAGATTCCGACACCGGCAATAAATATTGATGCAGATACCTGAAAAATAGATGATAAAAAAGAAGAAGAAGGCATGTAAACAGAATGAATTTGCATGGGTTTTTTCTGACTGACTGACTGACCTGATTTGAAGATCTTTCAAAACAAATAAAGAAATCAGTGAGCATGTTAGACGGCTGATTTTTACTATTTTCCACAACCATGAGGTGTCATGACTCTGTCAAAGTGCTCGAATTTCTTCCGTTTATCATTTTTTTTAATGAGAGATTTGAGCTTGTTAACCATAAAATTACACTGTCTTACTTTGATAAACTGGTTGTAAATCAGTGTTATCATGTCCAATCATTGTTTTAAAAAGTCAATTTAAATTTGATTGATGATCAATGATAGTAAGTAGTCAATCTGTTTGGAAAGATAAAATATCTTTGTTTAGTAAAAAGGAATTTCAATCGATAGATATGAATGTGAAACGGAATTTACGTTATAGTCATAGTCAGTCAGTTACAACGTAGAACTTCGTACACGAGTACATAAGTCCACGTTACCATACTCCATAAGCACAGAGACGCAACTGTCAGTTCAAATCCCATAGTGGTAGCCATAGTAGAAGTATTAGCAGTAATGGAGAAGATTAGGGTTCGAAGAGATGATTAGGAATTCAGAAGTTCGGAATTACAGAGAACGCAAAGAATGGATGCACCTGTGCCATTGCAAATGATTTTCAGCCAGGTCATTCAAGTCTCAACCATCGGTGACTTTTGTCTCGCGAACCCCAAACAGATAGCCTACATTTACCAACATGACTCAGTCCACTTGTCAGTGACTTCATGGATTTGTGTCATGTTTTGGTTTGGCTGCCCCTAGCTTTCTTCCAGCCTACTCTTACACCATAAAACATCTCTCGTCCAATAACTCTGATCAGTCTAAGGATTTCGGAGTAACCTCACCCATTGTCTTCGGTTGGTAGTGACTGCCCTCGACAGGTCATAAGTCCTATAAATTAATGTGAGTTATTAGAACTGGGATTTAAAGTTAGAGTTTTAATCACGAATTGACATCAGTTATTATGTCGAATTACTGTTTTTAAATATGCAACTATTAGTACTCTGTGAATGATCTGGCTCTTCTGTCCCACACGCAACAACAAATGCAAGAGAAGACAAACAGTGTAGCAGCAGGTCTCAACATACACAAAAGTAGAAGCAAGATTCTCTGATGCAACACTGTGCTCTAACCAAATTACAGATGTAAAAGCCTTAGCATATCTCTGGGTAGAATCATGGATGAGCGAGGTGGATCTGATGTAGATGTGAAGGCGTGGATCGGTAGAGCAAGAGCATCATTTCTATAACTGAAGAACACCTCCAACTCAAAACAACTATCAACAAACACCCAAGTCATAATTTTCAATACAAATATCAAGACTATTCTACTGTGTGGGGAGGAAACTTGGAGAACTACGAAAGCCATCATTTAGAAGATATAACTGTTGAATAACAGTTGTCTATGCATAATACTTCTAATCTGTTGGCCAGACACCATCAGCAACGACCTACTATAGGAGAGAACAAACCAGATTCCAGCAAACGGAGAAATCAGAAAGAAGCGCTGTAGTTGGATAGGAAACACATTAAGGAATTCACCCAACTACGTCACAAGACATATCCTCACTTAGCATCCTCAAGGCCAAAAGAGACAGACATGAGAAGATTGAACAATATTTGAACAGAACTAGAAACGAAGGTCCAGTAGAGAGTAGGTTGGATTATGTTGGTCGATAGCCTATGCTTCATTGGGAGTAATAGGTGTAGGTGCATGAATGAATTTCACGCCAAAATTCATAAGTTGTTATGTTAAATCTGATTTATTCGTCTATCATCAAGCCATTACCTACTGAAATATGAATTGTATGAAGTTCATAATAAAACTCCAACAACCACCATTTGACTGAAATTTACTAGTATACCACTAAACTGCACATATATACGGTAACTTGATATCCATTGAGATTGATATCTATTGAGATTGTGCATCTTTGAATTCAGGTTAAAATATCTTTCAGTCAATTTTCAATGAAAACAGAAACACATTTATAATTTATATAAAATAAATGAACATTAGGAATTCTTGTTTGAATAGTTTGTCTGTAAACTATTTAACTGACATTACTGTTTCAAACTCTGATTGTCACTACTGTAAATGCTACCTTGACTTAGTGGTCGGGTTTGCCTATTGTGATGACCTAATCGAGCTATATTGGCTGGAACATATGTTCCTGAAGGTCCAACCATTCAAGGTAAGTTGGTTGGAGAACGTCAAAACTAAAAGCAGCTACTCAAGGTCTGAGGGCTAAATCTTACTGCAGACTGTAAACAGATGTGACAGAAGTAAGATGTTTCCCTTGGACAACCAGTATCCGTAGCGATACTACCTTCTCACAAGGAAGGGATGGGTTAGAGAAGTTCGATCCTAAAATTTTCACACTTCACCTTACCTCACGGATTTCCGTCTCCAGCAGTAAGGCCTTTTAAACAGTTTAAAAACTTCCCATAAAGAAGCCATTCGTAACCGGCCTCAAACAGTTATTCCTTGAACTCTGTGGTCACACTGTTACATCTCCAAGACCAACACTAATCTACCTTTCTTTTCAAGTCCCTCAAAGAAACACTCTCCCCTGATATAGGCAACCGTGAAATAACATCAGCTCTCATACTTGTAACAGTACATCAGATCAAATTAATCACAATCTCTGATTCTCATTCCTACCTTTATGATTATTATTATTATTATTTGAAATAATTAAAGATTAATAATATTAATCAATTAAAATGATTTGCTGTAATGAATTTCTATTAAATTTATTCATTTATCTTACGCGCGCGCGCGAACACACACACTACATGATTAAATGTTCAATAAATCATTCATTCATTAGAACATCTGATGATCAGATGATTCTTTTTCAAATTTTGCGCTTCATTTATTGTTCAATGAATGAATCAGAAAAAAAGGTCAATGTATCTACTATCTCTTTGTCATCATTATCATTGATAAGAGAAAAAATTTTCTTTATTTTTTTAAACTTACAGAAAAACTAATTGTATGCCGATGATGTGTTGATGTAGTCAGTGATAATAAATCTTTACGAATTCGTTTAAATCGACAACAACGCCATAGTTTCGGTCCTATTCTTGGTTCACGTGGAAATGGTCCAGAATCTGGTAATAATGAATTACTGTTATTATTATTATTTGAAATTTGTGTAGATTGTAATGGTAAATGCAAGGAATTCGAAGTATCCGAAGGATTTGTCACGCTTGGTTCATTGACAACCAATGATTCATTAGGATGAATAGGTTTTTTCACTGCTAATGAATTTGATCGACGTGTTGATGATGATTGCAAATCTTTATTTTGTGTAGTTAATTTATTTGTTGTAATATAAACAAATAAATCACGTACCTATAAAATGAAAAATTGAATTTTGATTTTTTTTATTTTGTTTTGTAAAAGTGGTTAAAAATAATTTTATGTAGAATTTTTTAATTATTTTTTTTCTGGTTAGCGTTTTTTTTGGCAAGTTAGTTTTTGACGGGATGCGGTCGCCAACCCCATACCCAACCCTCATCCTTTGTTCGGGCTTGGGACCGGTAGTAGCTCCGAAGGAGAAAATCAGGAAGAAGCGGTGGAAGTGGATAGGACACACACACTGAGAAAAGCACCTAACTGCGTCACAAGACGAGCCCTCACATGGAACCCTCAAGGCAAAAGGAAAACAGGAAGGTTAAGGAACACTTTACGCCGAGAAATAGAGAAAGATATGAGAAGAATGAACAAACATTAGACAGAACTAGAAAGGGAAGCCCAGGACAGAGTTGGTTGGAGAAAACTGGTTGGTGGGCTATGCTTCATTGGGCGTAACAAGCGTGAGTAAGTAAGTAAGCAAGTAACATATTGAAATACTAATAGAAATAAGATTTCCCTGTCTTTGAAATGTCCCATTTGATAGAAAAACAAACAACTTACCATTTCCAATGAAAGATATCCGGAATAAGCAACATTCTCAGCAAAATCACTTAATGTCATTGTTGGAAATCGTATTAATGGTAAAATATTAGCAGCAACTTGAACACGATTCGATACAACATCTCTTATACCCAATCGATTACATTCTGCCCCGGCCCAACGTCCAACAGCTGCAAACACTTCGGATTCTTGACAATTCAATGTATTACGACTGACTAAATCATGTAAACAGTTGGCATTTAATGTTAATAAACCTTGGGAACTTAGTACATCCGGTGCCTAAAATGCATAAGAAGAAAAAATCAAAATTAGATGAGTTATTAATTAAAAAATGGCAAAGTACAACTATGACCAATTGTTTAATCATGTTTACGATGAAGAAACACCATGGTAGTAGTAGTAGTAGTAGTAGTAGTAGTAGTAGTAGTAGTAGTAGTAGTAGTAGTAGTAGTAGTAGTAGCAATAGTAGTAGTGTGAGTAATAATAGTAGTATTAGTAGTAGCAGTAGTAGTAGTGTGAGTAGTAGTAGTAGTAGTGTGGTGCGCGCTACTTATAAGTAGTATATGATGCGAGTGAAAACGTAATGTCTGGCAGCAGAAGATGGGGGAAGATCAAGAAAGGAAGAGTGGGAACACAATGGAATTTGTATGAAACGCATCAATAGTGAAATGTCAGACAATGGATTGATGATGGATTGAAGATTTGCAAATTAACGATTTACGATATGGTTTTCCTATTTTACTAAGTAACTCTGTAATTTTCGTTAAATACAATTTGGTTGCCCTCACCTGTGTTCTCCTTCACTACAGTAGTATTGTTAGTAGTAGTAGTAGTGGTAGTAGTGTTAGTAGTAGGAGTAGGAGTAGTAGGAGTAGTAGTGTGTTACGCCTGCACGTAAACACGTCAGTTTGATATGCTTGAAATATTACGAGTTTACCTAGTCAGAAAACGAGAGCGAGGATCGAGGATTCGGCAACACGACATGCTACACAAATCCTAGAATCCCAACCCCCCATATTGAGTTAAAATAAGAAGATTTGATATGAAGTAAAACCTGTATTCTACAAACATCCAGAAAGTACGAGGTTCGAGTCCAGAAGAGAATCATGATCCCGGATTAGGGATCCGGAATCGGGTCATGGTGATAAAACGTTACAGATAATGCGTATTTATACATTTTGGTCGAATAGGAAACAGCATCAAATTCTGTGACATTGACAGTTAAGATGACCAATAGGAAGTAACATTTGAAGTGACATTGATAGTCAGGACAACCAATAAGAAACAACATTGGAGCACATGACATTGATATCTACTAGGACGACCATAAAATTGACCAGTAGAAACTAACCAATAGGAATTGACCAATAATGCTCTTAGGATATTGGATGAATATGCTAACATAGTGTCAGTAGTAGTATCAATGGTACTTGTATGTAATAAACCTGATCAAAGAAATTCTTTAATAAATCACACTCTGATATTACATTTATCTTTACAAAAATTACTTATTATAGATAACTGTGTAATTTTGAAATTACACTGGTTTAGAGCGAATGCTAGCCAGTTAATCAGCAACGACGTAGAACTTCGTACCTACGTACTTTAGTTCAAGTTGCCATACCATATAAGCAAACAGAGATGTAACTGTTAATTCAAATTTCATAGTGACAGACTTAGTAGCAGTGTAAGCAGTAATCGGAAGATATTATTCAAATAGTATAATTCAGTGAAATAAATTTGAGAATAGAAAGACGAAAGTCATATGAAATTTAGAAGATTAGAATTTGAGAGAACAGACAAAGAGAATGGATGCACGTCAGCCATCGCAAACGATTTTGAGCCATGTTATTCAGAGTCTCTAAGCATCGAATACTATCATCTCGCTGGTTCCAACCATAGGTAGTATTCTTCACTTACAAACAAAAACTCAGTCCACTTGTTAGTTAGTGACTTTATGGATTGATACCATATTTCGGTGATCTAACATTGATCAGTTCATGATTTCAATGAAACTGATTAGTGTTATTGTACCGTACAAGCAAGGAATATAATATGTTCAACTATTCAGTCAGTCAATCAATCAATCAACAGCAACGTAGAAGTTTGTACGTACGTACGTGCACACATAAGTTCAAGTTACCATACTACATTAGCACATAGAGATGTAACTGTCAATTCAAATCCCATAGTAGTAGAAGTAGTAAAAGTATTAGAAGTAATCGGAGAGATTCAGGTTTGAAGATATTATATTCAAGAAGTATAATTCAGTGAGGTAAATTTACAAAGTCGAAGATAGAGGTAATGAGAAAATTCAGAAGATTAGAATTTAGAGTAAATGCACCTGTGCGCCATTGCAAACAGTTTTTCAGCCATATCATTCAAGCTCTCTAATCATCGATTACTACTACTATAAGTAGTATCATCATCTCACCGAACCTAACCACATCGTTCTACATCACCTATACTACTAATAACATGATTCAATCCACTTGTCACTCACTCACTGACTTTATGCATATGCGCCATGTGTTCAAGTATCAATTTTATTTTTTCATGTTCATTATTCAAATATTTTCACATTAGTTATATAAATTTATAATAATTTGCAAGAATATTTCATAATTTTTTATCTGCTTTCTGAATTTTTCATCAAACTTTGTTTTATAATATGAAATCACTCTTTTTTTATTCTGTACCGAAAACTCTTTACTAAGTAATCATAATGTATCACATGTCAACCAACATTGAACATGTGATGTGAGTGTTTAATCGAATCAGAACAGAAAAAATAAGAGAACGAATAACGATTGATATTTTATATTGTACATTTGATTTGAGTGTAAGTTGTTCTAAACTACAATGTATACCTTTATTAGTGTGTTTGTGTGTGTGTGTGTGATGATGAGTAAAACTGAATCGAGTAGTTGTTTACAACAAACTAGAGAGAGAGAGAGAGAGAAAATGTAGTTTGTGGTTATATATAGTAATTCAAAACAGATAATGCCTTGAACATAGTTCAGTGCACGGTTTGATTGGTTATTTCATGAACACAAATGTTAACTACACTTATGAAATAGTATGAAATAGACTTGTGTTTTTAGTGTGTTATGAATGAAAAGCGCTAAAATCAGATTGCGCTGTATATTCGGATCTGATAAACTTCTCTCCGGGAATGACTTATGGTATGGCTGTGAAATATGACCAGTGAGAGTAGGTTACTGGTTTTCGATCATAGGTGTCTTTGAAGCATTGCTTGTATACCCTGGAATAACCGAATAAGCAATGCTGTTGTTAGGAAACGGGTGCTAGGTAGGGATGACAAATCAGTAGATGAAGTATTGAAACTTCATCAGTTGAAGTGGTGTAGACATTTGTTACTAATGTCCAAACACCGGCTGCCGTGACGAGCTATGCTTTGTGCTGTGTGAGTAGAGTTGGAAGAAAGCTAGGAGCAGCCAAACTAAAAACATGGCACAAATCTATGAAGTCACTGACAAGTGGACTTGTAGTGAATGAGAACACAGGTGGAGGCAACCGAATTGTATTTAACGAAAATTACAGAGTTACTCAGTAAAATCGGAAAACCATATCGTAAATCGTTCATTTGCAAAAGATCAGTTCATCCTATGGAACTGGACTGTTCCTGTTGCCAAACATCAATCCATTGTCACTCTTCATGCGTTTCATACAAATTCCATTGTTTTCTGACTCTTCCTTTCTTGATCTTCCCCCCATATTATGCTACCAGACTTTACGTTGACACTCACGCTATATACTACTTATAAGTAGTTCGAACCCCAGCACCACACTCGTCCCCCCTTTTAATAAGCTGTCGTCGCAGTCTTTCTGATCTCCGTACAGCCGTCTTCTTCATCAGTGTTTGTGGCTCGCCCTCTTGGCGCACTTGGAACCACCTTTGGAGTTCACTGGCATTCACGCGTTTCTGTTTGTTTCCTTTCTGGATCGTATACACTGCGCCGCGCCTCTCGGTGACGACGTACGGTCCCTCCCACTTCGGGATCAGCTTACCTGACCCTGGCCCTCTTCCTGTGGTATATTTCCGTTCTCTACACTTCACCTGATCTCCCACTTCAAACAATCTCCAGTTCTTTCTCTCCTGTTCTGACTTTTCCATGTCTGATGTTTGTTTCTCTCTCACATTCCTGATTGCTTGTCTCCGCTCTGTTCTCAATCTTGTTGTATTCCATCTCTGTTGTTGCGGCCAGGTTTTATCATGCGTTGGTAGTCTCGGCCGTCTGCCGTACATCAGCTGGAACGGTGACTTCCTGGTTGTTCCCTGTGCCGAGGCACGAGGTGCCAGCAAGATTAATGGTAATTCTTTCTCCCAGTCACCCCCTTTAGATGCTAGCTATTCCTTTAGCGTTCGGTTATTCCTTTCCGTTAACCCATTCGTCTGTGGATGATACGGCGTTGTTCGTATTCTCTTGATACCTAACTGCTTTAGACGGGACTTGAACTCATCACTCTCGAAACAGGGACCTTGATCGGTTAATATTATCTTTGGTATCCCATGGTCCGCCACAATGTGCCGCATTACCGCTTCCGTCACCGTCCTTGCACGTTGGTCCGCCATCGGCACGGCATTTACCCACCGTGTGGCATGCTCAGTCATCACCAGCAGGTACTGGTTACCATTTGTCGTCTGCGGGAACAGTCCCATAACATCTACTGACCACAAATCACCAACTGCTGTTACTGGAATTGACTGCAATGGCGGTCGTATGCATCGATCTCCTTTCATTAGTTGACATTGCTGGCACGCTAATACATGCAACATCGTCTCTCATACCTGGCCAGTACGCACTTTGCCGCAGCAAATCAGTTGTCCGTGCAATACCTGTATGCGCTACCTGGTGACATTCACGAATCATCTCCTGGCGCAGATCTTTTGGGATTATTGCTACCCAATTCTCGTCATCATCCCGCCAGGTCAAGGCTCCGTATCCGTTCACTCTCAGTCTCTCCTTCTGCCTCAGCAACATTGTTAATTCTTTATCTGTTCTACTCTTGTCAACATCTTCTCCCTCTTTTATCACTCTGATTACCTCCCGAAGGTTAGGGTCGGCTTTCTGATGTCGGACGAGTTCTAGGGGGTCTCTCTCTAGGCCGTTAACTGCACACGCTATCTCTGGAAGTTCGGCTTCGGTGTCCAGTCTTGACAAATAATCTGCCATTACATTTTCCTCCCCTGGCACATGCCCGATGCTGAAATCATACTCCTGCAGACGTAGCATCCATCGAGCCAACTTCCCCCG